TGCAAAAAACGCAGTGATCAGCTGGGTTTCTTCATTTTCCCTCGGCTCCCGACTTTGGTGCGTCTCAACCATGTGTCTTCGCTGAATCCGTGCTTTGTCCTACTCCCCCCTGCTTCTTGCGAGGAATAGACTTCCCGAGAGTTACTCAGAGCATTATGCCGTGGAAGGGGGTTTGGAGAAGAGGGGTAGTTGAGGGTAGTACCTACACCTTCCGCCGCCACGGGAACCCAAACTTCTGAGTATGAAGTGGGATGAAAAGCTTGGTGAAGCTTAGCGGGCGCGATTTGAATTCATTTTGTACGGAAGAGATAGAGTAAAGAGCTTCGTGGCATGTGGGGGTTATGAGTTAGGGAGGTGGCACCGAGGGGATGAAGATCTGGGCCGTAGAAGGAAGTCATAGGCTTATCTTTTCGTCTGATCAAGGAAGAGAAGGGATGGGGAAGGAAGCCGTGATGTGTGATCTTGTTTGCCGTATTGGCTAGAAGACCGGATGTCGAAGCCGAGCTTCCGTTCATTTGCCGACGCTTTTAGATGAGTTCATGGTTGAAAGAGTGTGCTTAGTGATTCTGCCGATGTTGAGCAGCTTGAGGCGGGGGGTGAGAATGCTGATGGCGATTATGGGGATGCCTCGGTATGGGCTGATGGTTGTGATGGGTAGCAGAGCTATCAATGTTCTGGGACGATGGGTTTTAGTCGTGAAGAGACGCTGAGCATGACTTTCTGCGTTGAGAAAGTTATGACAGCACTTTGCTATTACAGAAATAAGAGTTAGAGGTTGCCATGATTTGGTCATAACCCAAGCTTTACCTTGGAATAACTCTAACCCGGAATCTCCGGGAACTTCCAAGACGTACAAGTATTTACAACTTGCGATGATATATTCATGACTCAGAATACTGAAAGAAGACTTTTGTTTGATTACTACGTGGGAACTCCTCAATGACTTTCAAATTCGTGGCGATAAGATCGAAACTCCACGTACTATCTAACGCCTGAGCTATTGAGATAATTCTACGAGATCACGCCTTGTTCAATGAACTCAAGTTCCACTGGCTTGTTGCTTAATAGCGTCACTCGTGTCCAATGCTTCTTTACACATGCCACCTTGAGCATCGTGTAACTCGATGACTCAACCAACTTTGAAATAGGCTCAAGACAAGAGACGGCAAGGAAACTGCTATTCCCTCGTGAGTACATCTCGTGAACTGTGCATTGACGTCTGTAAAATTGCAAGCTTAACAAGTAGCAATTTGAGTACCTAAACTCAAGAATTAATAAAAGGTCATAGACGAATGTACCGGTATCAACTTGCAATCACCGGGGGACGAATCATATGCTCATCTTAGGTATTTAGAAGTGGATGATCTATATATGTTGAGGCTTGAGCACTTGCTCAGCTGCCTGCTGACAACAACATTACATCCATCAAATGAGCATTGACCTCAATACATTGAGACATATCTTCTTGAGGGATAATATCGAATAAGGTAGGTATCGAGTCAGAGTAAACGGGAGATGTATTATTAGAGGTTACTTCCACCGGGAATTTCGGAAATCGCAGAGAAGCTTCCGATTTAATTATTGGCACACCACGCGTGGAATAGCACGTCATCTTGCGTAAGACATCAAGACACATTGACGCCATCACTCAACTTGTCTAGTGCAACGGGAAACAGCCTCCATCGTGCCCATTGAAGAACCCGCCTATTACGTATCACACAACAGTAGCACTGCCTACCGCCTGACATATCAAGTGAATCTCACGTTCGCTTGATAGACTAAGGTACTTTCTTTTCTTGGTTCAATATCTCCATGTTACCATAGCAACCCACGAAAGTCGACTGGACTTTGGTATAGCCCGAGCTCCCTTATCTTACACAGCTTTTGACTAAGGTAATACGTGCCTCTTAGTCTCAATCAGTGGCGAAGACTAGCGTATTTTTGGTACTGAAATAGGCTTACCGCGTAGATTGCGGGGGTAACACAACTTCCAGTTTCGTGAGTTTTGACGGTGATGTTAAAACCATCTCTCTACCCACTCCACAGGCCCATTTCTGAAAGCCATAACTTGCGACGTTCATCCATCATGGAAACAATATATTGAGGCTTGCGTTGATGATCAAGTCTTGAATGAGGGCTCTAGAATGCCGAATCTCCCCAACGAAGTGTGGGTGCAAATATTTGGGTATTTCGAATACCCATTCGAAGCCAAAAGTGATCAACCCGCCCACGAACCTCGAACCGTCCATGAGCCATGGAGAGAAGGCCTCAGAGTGTTGGCACGGTGCTGCAGAGTCTCTGCCAGATTTCTGGGACTCGCGCGACCAGTTCTATACCGACGCTTGCCCTTGGAAGAAGAGGAAATCCGCCTATCCAGCCTCCTGCGCACGCTTGCGGAGCGTCCGCTGCTTGCACAATATGTCGAATGTATTATGCAAGACAATCGTCACGGTCTTTCGCTGAAAGCTTTCCGCTCTCTCGTCGGGCAATACTACGACACCCCGCCCAATCTCAGCAGAAGCCAACGCCATAATAAGAGAATCCGATACACGGGGCCACCACCGAGCCTATCGAGCCTCGAAGGCTTCGAAGCGGAGGTCAGATGCCCATCTTATTCTTCGCGACGACAAGGCGGGTCGGAAATGTGGCATGCCCATTGCGCCGGTCTCATGCCAAACCTGAAGGTGTTTAACTGCTTGATCACGGCCAAGGACAAATTCATCCCTGCCATGATTCGACAAGCAGCTGACATCGGGGCGGTGAGAGCCGTCGAGGACGCTAAAGACCCGCACAAGGAATCCCAGGAGACCGGTCTGGCACGAATATACCAGCAAGACTCGGGTCCGACATTAGGTGTGCCGCTTCCGCTGGCAAAGCTTGAAGAGCTCGCCGTTAGCCATCACCGCCCTACTAGAATGCCGACTGCAGCGGTGTCCTTGGAGAAATTCCAGGATTTATTTTTTCTGCCCCGTTTGATAAGATTCTATGGCCACGGCGTCACCCTGAACAATACCCCGGCGAAGGATGACCAGACCTCTGAGCAGCAGCGTCCTCGTCGAGTGAGTTCTCTGGCGTATGTTCACCTCAGATCGTCTTTCGCGGACGCCCAGAGCATCTGCAATCTCCCTGCGTACGTGTCCCTCCTTACGGACGCTTAAAATATCGTGGGGACAACACGCGATTGGCGACAGCTACCTCGACTTTGATGAGATCGGTAGAGCGTTGCGTGAGCACGGGGCCTCCCTCGAGGCTCTAGATCTTTACCCCAACGCGTGTCACTCGTACCAATCTAATAATTGGAGAGGAAAAATTGGCAGTCTACGACCCCTGCAGCTTCTCACTTACCTGGCGATGAGTGGAAATATACTACTCGGGAAAGAAAGGAACGAGCACGAGGAAGACACAGCAATGCCCCTGTTTGATGACCTGGAGGCACTTCTGCCGGAGTCTCTGGAGACTTTACATCTCTACAGCACTTGGGGCGAGGAAGAGTGGTTTCGCAAAACGATTCAGGGTATTTTGTCAAGTCAACGATTGGCACGCTTGAAGAAGGTATTGTTTTCAAGTGGTGCTCTTTATGATGTGATTTGGGACTTGACCGATTGGCAATGCTATTGTCCGAGGCCTCGTGCCAGGTTCCACAGCATGTTCGATATCGAGTTCTGTAGAATTCCCAAGACTGCGCGAAAATAAGCCTACCTTGTGATGAAGGGCATCGACTCTTACGGCATACGTCGTCCCATCTCATAGTAGGTACCTTAGAGCAGGAATTATTCGATGTTATCCGCATGCCAATGGGAAGTCAGCTGACTGAACTTCTGCAAGGAGATGGAATAGAGCGACGGGTTGTTCCATACCTCATCCCTCTCCATGGTTCAAACAACGATGGCCATTACGCAAATCCTCAGATCTGAAAGCATGAATATCTAACCATCTTTTTGCTCTGTCTTTTCCGTTTTTTTCTTTCTTTTCTTTCCTGGGCTGACAATCTCTCGGAGATCCATGTTGCAATTACGCGATCCCGATTAGAACATCTGTCGTCTGATATCATCTTATTGCCTTGGTCTACATGTATTCAATATTACTTTGATTCAGTCTGCACTTCCAACTCCCAAGACGACATCGAAATTGCTCCAGTCATTGGTGCCTTCGCGGCATTCTTGAAGGTATTGAGGGATTCCACCGAGATAGTTGAGCTGCTCCTTCTTCTTGCCGGGAATATTCCCTCCCACGTACCATGATGTATCGCTCTTTCTGAAAAGCAGAGCCTCGTGTATTGCTTGTACTCTTTTCTTCCAGAGTTCTTCAGCTGAACGGCGTGGCTCAATGGATGTGATCTTTTCCGCTCGTAGCTTCACTAGGAAGTCTGTAATTAACTCCACTTGCTGCTCGATGAACACTGGTGCGTTTGTCAAAGCGGTAGGAGCTGTCTCAATTATCGTTAGTCACTTGAGGTATTTTAGAAAAGGTACCCAATGGTGTATGCTTACCTTGCGGTCCGTATATCATGAACATGTTTGGACACCCTCGAGTCATCAAGCCAAGATACGTCCAAACGCCCTGTCCCCACCTATCTTTCATATCGATCCCGTCTTTACCACGAAGTCCCATATTAGTTAAAGATCCAGTCATACTGTCGTATCCCGTTGCTAGAACGATAATGTCATGCTCCCTCTCCCTTCCGTCTTCGGTTACGATACCGCGCACTGTCCATTCGCGGATGGCCGTCTTCTTCACATTTACTATTTGCACATTTTCCTGGTCCATGCATTCGTAGTAATCCTGCTCCAAGCTGCTTCGTTTCGTTCCGAATGGGTATGGTTGTTTGTCAGGCACCAAGATGGCTCGCTTCTCCGGGTTCCGCACCCGAGACCTCGTCTTCTTTGCCCAGAATTCGTAAATCAATCGGTTCGCTTCTGCGTCCACCAAGAAGTCCGTATACTGTCCGGTCTGAAAGTTGAATGCCCCTCTTTTCCATAGTTCCTCCCACCATGCCTCCCTCTCTTCCGTTGTGGTCGACCCCGTAACCTGAGTAGGCCCATCGCATGGTAGCCCGGCGCTGCTATCCCTCGCCACCTTGAAAAGTGTCTTGTAAATCGCTTTCAAGCTATCCTGCTCAAGTTCTGAGATTTCGCGTTGGCGCATTGGCAGCGCAATGTTGACATTTCGTACGTACACAGTCAGCTCCACGCCGGGCTGTTTCGCAACTTCTTGTACACATTGAACCCCTGTCGCACCTGATCCAATGATGGCAACTCGTTTGTTCCGAAGATTGATGCCGGAATCTGGCCATGCTGCAGGGTGTATAACAATGCCATTGAAGGAACCCTTTCTCCTGAAATCGGGCTCATAGCGTTTGATTGAAGTGCCCGTCGCCGGAACCAAGAAGCGTGATGTGATGATGCGTCCCGCATCAGTTGTGATGATCCACTTGGCTGTTGCGGCGTCGAAATCGGCGCCGATCACAACAGTGTTGTAGGTCACGTCTTTGGAAATGTCGAGAACTTTGTCGACATGTCTGAAGTAGCTCTTCAGCTCCTCGTGCCCCGGAAAGCGTTGCGACCATGTCCAGTCTTTCCAGACTTCCCTCAGAGAAAGTTGATAGTAGGGCGTCTCTGAGTCAACTCGTGCTCCGGGGTAGCTGTTCCGGTGCCATACGCCACCGAGCGCCGATCCGGCTTCCACGATGTGTGCCGAAAAGCCCGACCTGCGCAGCTGGTGCAATGCATAGCATCCCCCAAAACCGCCGCCAATGATCAAAACATCGTAGTCCATATCTCTGTTGGAACTGTCGTTAGAATTACCATCGTGATCGATGCGACGATCATCGAGGTGGTCGGTAGACCCCATCGTCACCAACTCAGTTTTGAACCTTGAAGCCAATCAAGTTGAGTCAGGTTAGGAACGAAAGAGTCAGGAGGGAGCCGGAGTCGAGCAACCTGGGAGGTTTACCGACTCAGGAGGGGAGATCTCTTGATTTATGAGCCGACGAGTGTATGGGTCAAAAGATCAGACGGGTGTTTGGGTTCAGGCAGAAGAGGAGATGAAGCTGATGTGCGGCATTGGGCCCGCCTCGATCGCCTCGGCATGCTCTGGCGGCAATCATGTCCAATTTTCCCCCGTACAACTTCCTCTGCCATACTCGGAAGCGGTCTATGAGTGGCGGAAGCTTGTCATTGTTGAATCTTTGACGATGTTTACGTTGTACTTGAAACAATTCCCGACACTCGAGCGTTGCAGTCGATGTAGTGGGCCAGACGGGTCCAGATCTGTCGGGGAGGTCGGTGCTTCTCCCGAGTCCTCTTGATGCATAATGGGTTATTCCAGCCAGGATACAAGGCTGAGAGGTGTGTGGTTCGATTGGCTAGAGGCTTCAATGCTCGACAGAGTGAGCCTCACGATTGGCCTACTCAAGGATTTATGCCGTTTGATGTAGGATTCGCCGGTGGCCTGAGGTTTTTCGATGCAACGAGAAGGAAAATTATTGAATGCCTAACTACGGAGTACACAGCTTTGATATCGTAGCAGTCATCGTCTTTGAATGGATTTCGTTAGAGATATTGGACAACCATATTTGCCTGGAGTATTTGCCTCCAGCAATCGGCTGCAAAAGTGCTCAATCTCTCAACGTCATGCTTTTCGCTACTTCACTAAGAGGGGAGGGTTTGCATGTGTGGACGGCCTCCCGCATACATTTTGTAGTTATCAGCCCCAGGATCAATGAAAACCTGTCGTGGATAGAAACATCCATCACTTCCGATAGAAATGATTGGACCAGTTGGTAGACTGCGAGTGGTGGCAATCCGCATCATCGTGCCGTATATTCGGTGCCTGGGGCTTGATGTCAAGAACCAACCATACCGGAATCCAAGGTCGCGTGATTGGCGCCCTGAAAACGTACGAGAATAAGAGCAAGGCGCATCCAAACATTCTCAAGAAAGCAGATGGCAGATCGGTTGATTATATGAAAGCTATCGCTTGGATTCTATTTGACCTGTGCTGTTTACCTAGAACCCCCGCGAGCCACATTGGACGCGGGAAGGGCCTCTCAGCGACATTGGAATCTTAGCCCGCTTCCTCTTTGTATACAATCCAGTACCTTTTACAATAAGACATGGATAAGCTACGCTATTCCATGGAAGTGAATGGCCTCCTAGTGAAAAAAATGTGCTTCCTTTTGATCTAGGTGATAAACGGCTGCATGCTGCGGGAGGCCTACCGACATTAGCCCTAACACAATAACCAGATTCACCTCTTTGAACCTTTTATGCAATAGCGCAGCCATTCAAATTTAAATTCTTTCAAACTTGAGATTCCTTTAAAACTTTTCTCCGTACTCCCTTCCTCATCTTTTGGAAAGCGACAGACCTTCAAACCCCAGACCATTCGCGCCTGACCTGGCTGCATGAATCATTTGACATCGCCGGCCATGTCGTCCTCGGAGGACATTATCATGGATTCTCTACATGATTGGAAGCAGCGACTGACTCCTCTCAAAGTTGACATTGTCGGTGACTTTGCTGGGAAAGAGCTATTCGCCATCCATGGAGAGTCCTTGGTTGCTCACTGTGTCGCGACTGCAAACGTCGATTATCTCGGTGAGCATCTCCAGAAATTACTCCAAATACGTTTGTGACCTACCTGATCTTAGCTTACTAGTACAACAGTCGGCTTTCAGCTACTTCATGCTGTACATGCAATTGAGGTATTCCTGGCCAAACTCAAGGAGCGGGGATGCAACTTCCACATCCTATGGTTTGACAACCACCAAGACCTCGCGGCACCACCGGACGCCCCCAAGAGACTGGCATACAAATACCTATTGACACGTGCTGTCGCTATTGAAAATCTACGATGCCCTGGAATACACCCTGAAATGAATTCTGACAATCGCGGCATCAGATCTCCAATGAGCTTTGTGTTCTCTTCCATCACGAGCCCCGAATTTTTGGAGTACACCGACCACCACCGCCTTCACTTCGTCATGATGTCCCAAGGCAGAGCATCGGATATCGATGCAACAAAGGGGGGCGAGTTCTTGAAAATTATGTACCTGCTGGGCCTCCGCGGCTACAGTCTGGCCTTCATCGACGGTATCGAGTTTCGGAGCTCCAAGGTGAGTCTCCAGGCGACTGGTCGCAACAGATCACAGGGTGCTGACGTGACTCGTTTACCACAGGCATATACTCTTATTGCAACAACTCCAACCTCGGTGACATTGCTACCTGTTACAGAGCCAACACCGCTGCCGAAACCCGATTTCGGTTGCAGACCAATTGTCGATCGCCTCCAGACTATGCCTAAGTCCCGTGATTGGCGAGTCCTCCGACACGACGGCGAAGTTGAGGCCCAAGAAGAAGTGGCGATCATTGCTTGCGCAGCCTTCTTGTTGAACAAAACCTGCTCGTATTTACATAGCCACAGGCTAGTGGCCGCTTTCCTTTCGCACATCGCCCTGCTGAAGCACGCAACGCTCTCACAGCGAGCTATAGAGGCTCCACCAGAGCTGAACAATCATCCAGACAACGAAGAGTTTCTTGCGACTTTTGCTGAGGTCGCAATCCACCTGATCAAGCAGTGGCCCAGTCTAAAAGAAGGAAAACGCCTCAATTGGAGAGTTTGTGATCTCATTGACGGTCGGCTCTACTGTCACGTATTGGCGAGACTCCAAACCCTTCAACTCCCAAGCGATGCCGCTTCTGAATATGCATCAGCTATGCGACAACTGTCTGGCGTCGATATATCCTACTGCATGCCAACTTCTGTTCGACAGATTGTGGGTGGCCTGGGAACACTCACCAGGGGCTACCAAACTCCAGACACTCAGTCTACCCTTGCCTTTAGCCATCCCGTATTGGATAAGTATCTAGAAGACATCAAGTTGACAAGCCAACCCATGACAGAGGATGAAAGCACCGAGTCAGAAGTCTTTCAAGAACTCTCTCACTGGCACAATTCGAAGAAGAGCATTGACCCAAAGCATGTTCCAAAGCGCTGGGGATTCTTTGCGAGGAAGAGAAACCAGAAATACATGGCCGACACGATTGCTTACTCTGCTAGTCTTACCAATTCTACTGGAAAGAGCATTGACCCTGAGACAATTGTCGTGAAGAAGACAGAGCTTCCCGTCAAGGCTAAGAAGCAAGCGGAAACATTCAAAAGGAAAGGTCCATCTGTCAGGAGTGGTACAGAGAGTGCACTCGAGACATCGAGGAGATTAAGAGAGGAGAAGACATAAGCCAGGACTGCCGTGATTATCAAGAACTGGGAAGAGAAATGCCGGGACTTTGACAAGGACACACATGCCTGTCATCGCTTTTTAAGGGTCAAGAGGTATTTGTCAAATCTTTCTCCAGAGGACAAGAGCGCTATCGGCGGCGAGGTCATGTTGTACATGTGTAACATCCTTGGCCTCCAACTTATTCGCAGACCCTCGAAAAAGGCTTTCAGCGAATCAGGTAAGAGCAAGCTTGAGTAATTGTTTTTGATATCTTTTGACCTTATTGCTTTAGAGTCGAGTATTTTGGCGATGATCTGGGCCCAAATCAAAGAGATGACGTCCTTGCCCCTTACCGTTGAGGTAATACGCCAGGCCCAGTACTTGATGAAGGCTTTGAAGATCCCGCATGATGAACTTCACTGCGGGCCTTCTGTGCCCATCAGCCATCGTCTTCCATTTACCTCAACGTATGAGGTATCAACCGAGCATCTTCAAGTCCAGACGACTGGTCTCGAGTTCCAGTTGGCTCATTGCGGCCCTTATCTGGAGCGAAGCTTCGACTCCGCCCCCGACCCACGCGTTACATTCAGTCCAGATGCCTGGCAACGGGATGTACTAGACGCCATTGACGACGACAAGAGTCTGTTCGTCGTCGCTCCCACGTCCGCCGGAAAGACATTCATCTCGTTTTATGCCATGAAGAAGGTTCTACAGAGCAGTGACGACAACGTCCTCGTCTACGTGGCCCCGACCAAAGCCCTCGTCAACCAGATTGCCGCAGAAGTTCAGGCTCGGTTCTCCAAGTCCTATCGCCATGAGGGCCGCTCAGTCTGGGCTATTCACACTCGAGACTACCGCGTCAACAACCCTAATGGCTGCCAGATTTTAGTGACCGTTCCGCACATTCTCCAGATTATGCTCCTGGCGCCGACCAATGCGCAGAATGAGAGGTCCTGGGCTCGTAGAGTCAAGAGAATCATCTTTGACGAGGTCCACTGTATTGGCCAGGCCGAAGATGGCATCATTTGGGAGCAACTATTGCTTCTTGCTCCTTGTCCCATCATTGCTCTATCTGCAACGGTAGGCAACCCACTCGAATTCAAAGAGTGGCTTGCAGGAACCCAGAAAGCCAAGGGCTTTGATCTTGAGATGATTATCCACTCGGCCAGATACTCTGACTTACGCAAGTTCTTATATCAGCCGCCCTCTGAACTGGAATTCAAAGGCCTAGAGCCAGTGGAGCGTTTGCCGATCCCCGGTTTGGATGCTGAAACAGGAGAAACCTCGCGATTCACACTTGTGCATCCGGTCGGAAGCATTATCAACAAGTGAGTCTTGAAACAAACTTCATGCGGTCTTGTCGAAATTTCAAGGCCACATTTTGCTAATTGATCGAAACCTAGAAATCGCGAGACTCTTGACAATGCTAGTCTCGAGCCCCGCGACTGTCTCCGACTCTGGCTATCCATGAAGGAATCTGAAACCGAGTCGTATCGTATCAGTCCTAGCCTCAAGCCCGAGATTGCCTTGCCAGAGTTAGTAAAGAAGTCGGACATTATCAAGTGGGAATCTGCTCTCAAAGCACAGCTCTGGCAATGGCAACAGGATCCAAATTCGCCATTGCCAGAGGTATACAAAAGGCTCAAGACAAAGGGCCCTTCATCAGCGACAGACTTTGGACATCCCGAACTCGTCGCGGACATCTACGGTAATTCTTCGTTCTCGCTCCTCGTTGATCTTCACTCCCGAGGCGCCCTGCCAGCTATCCTTTTCAATTACGACCGGCTGGGATGTGAGAAGATCATTTTCAAGCTTCTTCAAGTCCTGGAAGACGCCGAACAAAAGTACCGCAGCACAAGTACAGATTGGGCAAGAAAGATGGCCGCATATCAAAATTGGCGCCAAGTCAAGGGCAGCAAAGCTGCGAAGAAAAGGGCCAAAGCTACCACGACAGGGACTGCAAGCTCCAAAGAGGAGAGACGTGGTGCAAAGGATTCTGGTGCAGCCCTGACTCAAGCTGATCTGGTACGAGAAGACGCGAGCCGGGATATCAGCCCATGGGAAGGTTTCGATCCCAAGGCGCCACTTCCGCAATATAATTTCGCAGATACTACTAAGCTCACAGTTGAAGAACTGGAGGCCCGCATCAGGTCTCTGGATGATTTGGGCATCAAACCTCGCTTTATCGATGCTCTTCGTCGGGGACTTGGTGTTCACCATGCTGGCATGAACCGGCAGTACCGCCAAGTGTAAGTCAAGCCTAATCCTGTATTTGAACTGTTGCTGACTTCGAGGGCAAAAGGGTGGAAATGTTGTTTCGCAAGGGCTACTTGACGGTCGTTATTGCGACCGGTACTCTCGCTCTCGGCCTGAACATGCCTTGTAAAACTGTTGTTTTTGCAGGTGACTCGGCATTCCTCACGGCTCTCAATTACCGACAGGCATCTGGACGTGCTGGACGTCGTGGGTTCGACCTCCTTGGTAACATTGTCTTCCATGGCATCCCCCATCATCGTGCCATGGAGATAATCTCATCGCGGTTGCCCGATCTCAGAGGTCAATTCCCCATTTCAGTTACTTTAGTTCTCCGGCTCTTTACCCTGCTGCATAGCACGAATAACTCCCAGTATGCAATCGATGCAGTGGAGTCTTTGTTGACTCAGACACGTCTGTTTCTTGGTGGGCCTAGCTCGCAAATGACCGTCAAGCATCACCTGCGCTTCTCCATCGAGTATCTCCGACGTCAGCAACTTCTCTCTCGAATAGGAGCACCACTCAACTTCTCGGGCCTGGTGGGCCACTTGTACTTCACTGAGAATGCTGTATTTGCTCTGCACTCCCTGCTCAAGGAAGGCTATTTGCACAAGCTTTGTGAAGACGTTGGCAACTCAAGTAAGCGGGGAGAGGTCATTCTCACTTTGGTGACGGTACTGTGCCACCTCTTCTGCCGAATTCCTTGCAGCAAGTACAAAAACCGGGAGTGGCTTGAGAATGTCGTACATCGATCGCCTTCCACTGTCCTTCTGCCCAGGCTCCCAACTGAGGCCGAAGCCGTTCTCCGAGGTCACAACGAGGAAACACTGAGAATTTTCAAGACTTACGTGCACACGTTTATTGAACAGAATCTCCAGGACTCACCAGATGACCAGCTTCCTTTCACCAAGCGCCGCGTGGGAGCCGTCGGAGATGCCTCGCTTGATATCTCAACGGCACACCTTCCGATACTGCCTCATTCGACTCTCCGATCACCTTTCTCTGCACTGTCAGGCTTTACAGACGACTTCGCCACAATCCACGAGTTGTGCGACACAGTTCGCGCTGGCGTCTTCATGGACGAATTGGCCATCCCGTACATCCCCATCTACCCCGAAGAGACGGACAATGTGCCCTGGAACGCGTACATCTATGACTTCTTCAAGCACGGTGATCTCGATACTCTCGTACGAGACAATGGGATCAAGGGCGGCGATGTCTGGTTTCGGCTTAAAGACTTCTCACTCATCTTGGCAACCATCGTCACAAGCTTGGAGAATATTCTGAACCGAGTCGATACGGATGGCGCAGACATGATCGCTATTCAGGATGTCGGCGATGCCCTCGAAGAAGGAAGATACATTGAGGGATCGGATGCACAATCCCCGGAGAGGCATGCGGCCTCAAATATGTCTGTGAACGCAAAGGCAAAGTCCCATTCTAGCAAATCCAAAGAAACAGTGGCTGAATCATGGGAAGACCTATTTGGTAGCTCCTCGGACGATACTGACCACGCGAGTGGCAGCTCAAGCAGAGCCGGTCAGACTACCGAGTCAGAAGGAACGTCTTTCGGTTCAGGCCAGAAAAAGGGAGGCGGTGAGGGTCTTATGAAAGTTCTCATGACTTTCAAGATCCTACAGCAGGTGTTCGAAGACAAGTTCAGGAAGGTATGGGCATGAGGAGTTTGAACGTCTCGATAGTACATGTATTATACCGCAACTGAAAAAGATGCTTAAAGTATTGAATGCTTCACTTGGTTAGATAACACCCGGCTGAGTTTGATGGTCTGCACTGAGAGGGCCAAGACATGAATCGCCGAATCATCTTCAAACTCAGATTGGCGTTACTTTCTCCGAAACTGTGTTCTTCTGATCCTCATTCTCGTCAGATCTCTCGCCATCAGGCGGCGTCTGCGTCTCCCGAGCCGCAGCGGCCCGCTCAAAGTCCTGAACCGTCATTGAGCCGTACTTTGCGAGTGATTGTCTGTCAATCTGTGTAGTTTCATGGTTAGCTACTTGCATCTCCAGAAAAAAGCGATCGCTTCTGTCAAGCTTACCCTGATGACGAGTCCCATAAAGCAGAGGACGATGCAACTGCACACAATCATTACAATCGCGCCCTTCTTCCAATACGGGGCTTCATCGGCTGCATAGAAGACGATTCCCCAGAAGGTGTAAAGCGTCGTTGCGCCAATGTTCATAGCGTACACTGTGACGCTACGTACTGCCTCGTCGCCGCTACGTTGAAGGATGATACTGGCCCAGCCGAAGATCAACGGGTTGACCATGTACGACGAACCCGATGCGTAGAAGGCGAACATAGTACCAGCGTAAGGTAGGTTCGGAACAAGAAGCATTGCGGCGCACACGATCTGGATCAGACAAACCAGCACGACCATGGGTACTCGAGTTCCGGTCGCGTCCATGTGCCATGCCGCCATGATGTTGGTTACGATACCGACAGCTTGTACACCCAAAGGATAGGTGTTGATTTGACTTTGGGTGAATGATTCAGCGTGATACTTAAGCCAGAGGATGAAGTTGCCCTGGACAACCCAGGCCTCAAGCGTCGCGCAAATAGGAGACCACAGCACCAAAACCCAACTGTAAAACTGATTAGCTATCCCATCTCGTCTTGTGTTCAACGTCATCCTCTACTCACAACGTGGGCATAAGTGCTAGACGCTTCAACAGAGAGAACGGATTCACTCCGTGTGACCCCTTAATTACCGGAGGCAAACGTCCAACGGCAATCTTCTTCTCAGAATCACTGAGATACCGAGCGCTGGTGTTCTCAGGGATATCGGGGAAGTAGAAGAAACCGAAGATGGCGATGGGAAGCGTGATGATACCATCTGAAGACTGTCAGCAAGTTATCCTAAGTCCAGGTGTCGGCAAGCTTTCCATACCAATGATGAAGACCCACTGCCATCCACCAAGGCCAGCAAGGCCGCCTAGTCCCTTGTAGATAGCAGCCATCATGACACCGGCAAACATCGTGCCTACTTGACCGGATGCAGTGAAGATGGCTGTGCGCTTTGAGATTTCCTCGGGCTTGTACCAGGAGCCCATGATGTAAATGGCCCCGGAGTAGGTGCTAGCCTCCGCCAGACCAAGGAAGAATCGAATAACGCAGAGCTGAGCGGTGTTTTTGACACCCGCACTAGCCATCTAAGTAAGTACTATCAGCGAATTGCAACGGCATCATCCGCAGACATTAGACGTACAGTCAGGAATGCCCAGAGACAGCACATTGACGGCAGCCAAATTCGCGGCCGGACGATTTGGAGGCCAATGACGATGCCATGGGGAATCTGTCCGACCACCATACTAAAACGTGGGTCAGCCCGCGGTTGTGAGAGAGCTGTATATCGGTTTGAGTCTTACCCAGCAGTAGTCACAGATAAGACTGTGTTGTAGTCATGGCCCTTCATGTGCAAGGCCTCGCGGAGGCCAGCAACCTGGAAGGGAATTCATCAGTTTCTGATTCCTACCGGTCTACTCATACTTAACGATGAAACCCACATAAGCATTGGCAAAAGCAGCACGGTCTTTTGTTTTCGTACATCGTCAGTGACACAGTTCCTTTCACGAAGCCGCGCCAATCATCACTCACCCAGGTAGTTGAAGAAGTAACTGAGGCAGCAGTACGTCAAGATGAAGAAGTCTGGATTATGTCAGTTATTTTTATCGTTCTCCCAAACGTAGTCGCAGTGACTTCATATTAGGAGCAGCTTACCTATTTTCTGCACAAGACGTCTTTCGTCTTTTGAGGTTGCCTCATTGCCAAGGAAGAAGGCTTCGCAAAGCCAAGAAAGTTAGCCCAAGGTATACGTAGGACTGTGACAGCATCTGAGGCTCAACAACATACCTTTGACCTTCTTGCCGGTTGATCGGTTCTCAGTCGACATGTTTTCCGTCAATCGCTGGCCACATAAGGTCCTTCCTGATGCTGTCCAAGATTCAACGAGAACAATTGATCTCACGACTATTGAGTGAAATAAACGATCTGATAAAGAATTTTTAGAATTCTTTCTGTAATGTCCTGTCATTCATCCGTAGACCTCAAATTTTTTGCTGCCCAATACAAGGGCGTGCGTGACCAGGGTTTGTCTACTCGGAGCACACGACGTTGGCGATGAATCGTCAATCCAACCCCAAAAATTCGTAAGCGAAAGTAAACGCGCAAAACCGTGAAAGACGTCTAGAGAATGAAGAGAAACTTGCTCATCAGAGAACCTTGATGGCCTCACGACCACCGGTTTTCCTAGTCATTTTGATGTGGTGGCCGGCGGCCCCGTCTCCCCATCTCAGATTTGTGGTTCCATTGCACAAGCGCACTCCACTGGCTGGCATGGACATGGCATTTTGTCAAATGAAATTGTTCGGATTTGAGCGAAGACGGGCGGGGAAGCGCTTGGCGGCTGATGGATCTGATAAAGCACCTACACGCTTGGGAGGCGGTTCTCCTGCGTCAGTTGCCGAAGGCCTGAACATGACGACCTTCGGCGACATCTGTTATCGCGGCTTTCCCACTCTCTGACTGCAGCGGGTGAACCATCAGCATAATGTGCGTTGAAAGTCCGTTGTTGCAAGCACGTCTTTGCAGTTAATAGCACATGCGCCTCTGTTTTATCAAATTGGGCGCTTCAAGTCTGCCTCGATTGGTTCCTAATCTTGTGAACTCCTAAGTCGGAGCTCTATGGATTTGTTGGTAATGCCAAGGCGAGTATTAGTCCGAGTTGATTTAGACTAAACTCTGATCAGCCACGAACCATATCTACAGCATCAAGGTTTTTAAGCATGCAGATCAAATGAATGGAATTCAACTCGAAACGGGGGCCGCCTTGAATGGATCAGCTCACTAGTGGAGGCAGCGCGACTTTAATAGAAGTTTCGAATTTCTGCGGACTCACCTATTGGTTTAGCAAGACCGGCTACTGACTCCTACTTACGTTCCAACAATAGCCGCACTTGCTGTAGCCTGTTGAAACCTACCAAGTACGAAGTTCCTTGATACATCACTTCTTTCCAGCTGTCTCCATGGCCTCTCGCTTATTCTTCTCGTAGATGGAATTCACCTTGCCCTCCAGAGCCTCGCTGCAGAAAGCCTCAAACGAATTCCCCGTCAGATCGGGATACAGATCCTTCGCGATTTGATATCCTAGGTAGCGCGCGTACTCCGGCGTGTTGTCTCCTCGGAGACCCCACGATTTCCGATATTGCAAAACCGACAGCCTATGAGGGTTGACCTTGTCATCCTTCGCCTTGACTATCTCTGCCTCAATCTCGTCACCCGACGTCTGAAGTGTGATGTTAGTTTAATCGCTCAAATATCAAGCCTTCACCGTCTGTTTCTCGTCCCATATATCCGTTTTTTGTCTACGAGTCCAAGGTGATCTAGAACTTACGTATTTCCTCTCAACCTTTTCTCCACTCATCTTCTCAATCAAATCGTACACCTCATTATGGGACAAGAGCTCGGTGAACGCGAAGACTCTGTGATTCAGGGTCTTGGGATCCGCAATAATGCGCGCGACGTATTTGCCGATATCGCGTAGGTCAGTCATACCAGAGCGAACGGTTCCGTCTCCGGCGGTCCAGTTGTCGAATGGACTCGCAACTGCATCAATACGTCCCGATGGAAGACGCGGCAAGCTGATCTGGTACCACCAGCCAACATCGATGACAGTGTACGGGAGGTAGAGAGTCTGGACGTGGTTCAAGACATCCTCTTTCTACACGCTCAACTATCAGCTCAACGAAGTTTCGCGATCGCCTGGTACGCATCAGATCTGGGCCTGCCAGTCTGTTCCTTACCTGGTCCCGGAACCACAACATGCCCCTGCCGGGCATCACCGTCCCAAAGAAGCAGGGGACAAATCGCTTTACCCCCGCTTTCTTAGCCGCACTGGCGAGGGGAATTTGGTCGAGCAGCTTGTCTGCCGCAATGGCTGAAACGACCACCTCATGACCGGTAAGCTGATTCGCGATTTCATCTTCGGATCCGCTCAGGTCAACTGAGGCAATCTTGACGCCCCTCTTCTCCAAAGCTTTGACCTCTGGCTTCTCCAGCGAGCTCGGTCGGATAAGCGCGGTTATCTCCTATCAGAAGACTTATCAGCACTACACATCAAGACACAATAACGTTATAAGACGAGGTCCTCACATATTTAGTCTCAGGCGAGGAGAGGAGTCCATTTATAATGGAGGTTCCGGTCTCGCCAGTTCCGCCGAGGACTGCGACCTTCATGTTGGATGTTTGTTTGGACTTTGGAGTTGTCAAGATGCTAGAATACTTTGTTGTTCTGGACTGAAGCCAATGATCTCAAGCCTTCAGTGTTTGTTGCCGATAAGTTGGACTTGAGGATAACTTATGCTCTCGAAACTCGTAGAGCCAAGTTGGATCCCTCTTTACCCATAAAACCGCCTACTATTGGCTCTCATAATCAACTCGAAGATGATATCATAGCAACGCTATCTCTCGGTGTCTCGAAGAATCAAAAGTCCGCAAAAAGCGGGGAAGACCTGCGGACTGGCCCGTTTGACGCAGCGGAGTTTTATCGGGTTGGGGCTGAATGTAACGGGGAAGCAGGTTCCCGCTCCTAGGGCCCGGGGCCCGCGCCAGCCCACTCGGTTTCGGTTCCGGAAGTGACTGGAGGACCCCGAGCGGCGGGCCAAACCCTCGGCCGAGGTGACTCTTCTAAAGGCTTTGGCTTAGAAATCTGATCCAACCCCGCGTTGTCTTTCAGCTTTTCCCTCGTTTTAGGATACGAATAATACGAGACATCTCGAGCTTGGTCATCAACATCGTGTTGGTTTTCGTTTGAGCATTATGATGCCGTAAACAGCCTTATGTTCTGACAGCCTAGCTACAATGAGAAGTCCACAGTTGACTCGAACATTTGTATTCTTGAGTTAGCTTAAGCACAGCTACTACTCTTTCGTGACGAAGCAAGTGAGAAATGTCATATCTCAACTTCACTGTGACTCTGGTGAAATCAACCAAGTAGCTCAGAGAATCTCGTATCATGTCTGTCACCCTCCCCACCATGAAAATAATGTGAGTGAAATTTCATACTATTGTTACCAATTAAACCAATGGTAAGCTGTCGCAAGTTTGACATCATGATGTACTTTCAAGCGGGCATATATTTGTAATTTGCCGCTTCTCTCGCTGCAGGGAATAATTCGACAATGCGTCAAAGATTTCGAAGAAAATCTCAAAGGATTGGTAGTCACTTGAAGCGGTGTAGACTGGTCCTATGTATTGAGTCAACAGCGCATCGCCGGATGGCGAGGACCAGCTCCATCGTCGGCCCTGTGTTCTGGGGACAAGGCTCTTCAGATCCTGTTCTACCTCAGTTGCCGCGTTTCCTGTCTCTGTCGACTTCTTGTTTTTCTGCCAATCTCTTTCTTCCATTCCGTCGTCCTTCCCACATCTTCAATGCAAATGTTGACTAAACCATCTCACCGCAGCTGACTTTGCCAGAGCCATCGCCTCCCTCTCTCCAGACTTTCCGGGATCTCCTCTAGTCAAGCAAGCATGCTCAACGCCGGGATAGTGATGATACTCAAAAAGCACACCCTTCTTCATCATAGTTTCGAAATAATGCGACTTGAGCTCGGGAGTGAACTGCACATCAAATTCGGGAGCCAACAGCTGCACTGGAACCCCGACGCCATCAATGTCCTCCTTGGTCAGCAAGCTAGGGTGGCCAGTCGCGATGCAGTCGACCAACGGGGGGCTATGTTCTTTGGCTCCTAGGCGGAACACCGCCCATCCCCCATAACAAAACCCGATAGCTCCGACTTTCTTGTGCTTCTTGCGAAGCTCCTTGACGAAGTTGGTGATTTCAGGCTCTCGAATCTCCCGTGAATTGTCCCTTCCAAAACTCGACAGGTCCAACTCGTGCCATCGGCCCTGGAGCACCGGCTCAAAGGGTACAATCCAACCGCCGAAGAAGTCTGGCAGGTAAACCGTCGCATTGGCTTCGCGAGCGTAGTGGTCCGCTAGGAGGCGTGCGTTGGGAAAAGTCCAGCCTAGAAGGTCGTGGATGATGATGATCGCGGCATCAGGGTTGTCGCCGGCGATGTAGACGTCATTGTTGGCAAGCTTGTCGGTTCGGCCCGTAGGCGTGCCGTCCCATTCGAAGGCTTTCAAGCAACACGATGGGATAGCCATTTCTGAGTCTTGAATGCGTAATTAGCACAAGGCCTTTTGTCTCTTGGAGGAAATAGTATATTTGAGTTTAATGTTTCCAATAACGAGTTGAACGAGGCGATAATTTGATGGCTTCTATTTGTAGCTGTACCGGCATGATTGCGGCCTTCGGATATCCTGCTAAACACCGGTGCCACGACAGTGCGGAGAAGCCAAGTCGGTCAGGACTGGGTCCGGACGCCGATCTTCCAATGAGACGTTGGTTACTCCAACTGTCCAATACATGGATGAGGCGTTTGCTGGTCAAAGCAAGAGCATCGGAAGTTGAAGTGAGATGGCGATCGCAAGGTCATTGATACACCAACCAAAGCTCTGGACGTACGATTGCGAAAGCGACTCGGGCTATGGAGTTTGGTTTGGCATCCTTGATGGGGGACGAAATCCGAGTATGCAGTATTACTCTAATGTCTAGACCTACATAGGTTCAGCTTGATATACAGCATCACTTCCCATTCAAGAAAGCCAGATACTATTCGGAAAGTCGATGTAGAATTCTGCTTGTTTTTAACTAACGACGAATCTATATGACTGGCTCTGGCTAAGAGCTGCATAGTCTCAAATCATCCATAAAATTATTGATGGCTGCGTTGACTCCATGTGCGATCGAATACGGTGAGTGAGCGTTGAGCTAGTCGCGGTTAGTCGGTTGATGTAGTGAAAGGGGCAATTGCTACTCGAAATACCTGTAGGAACGACATCGAGAGCCTTAATGGAGACCGTCTCCGGTTGCTCCAGCATATAAACAGCTGCCTGAGCAACGTCATCGGAAACAAGCGGACTTAGTAGCGTTAGTTGCATCAAGTAGATTGCGGTAAAGTTATACCCGCGGTGTAGACATACTCGTAGCCATCAACGAATGAGTCGTATTGGTCCTGATCGAATCCCACACGCTGCGTATGGAAGTGAGTCGCAACAACACCAGGCCTAATTGCTAGTACCTTGATATCGGTCTCCACTAGTTCGTTGCGGAGTGAATTGGTGAAGCCCTCCTGGAAGGCTTTGCTGGCGTGGTACACCGCCTCGCCCGGGAACGGCGGGACTTCATGCGCGGTAACAGAAGTGACGTTCAGAATGGTGCCCTTTCCGGGATTTCGCTTCATCATGGACCTGTTGAGTACCGAGTGTGTCACAAACATGATACCGTTGATGTTTGTGTTTGACATGGTGATAATATCCTCGATCTTCAGGTCCGGGAACCTGGCGGGAGCTCCTAGGGCGAGACCGGCCTTCAGAACCATGGGTCAGCGAAGCTAGGAAGAATTAAGTGTTAAGAGCTCTCATGAACGAATCTGGCTTACGTTGTTGATAAGAATATCAATGTCGCCGATCTCCTCAATGGCCGAACCAACTGCCTTATCAACCATATCGAAATTGCCAATATCAGCTGCTCGGTAAATGACCTTGATGCCCGAGTTGGTCGTTGATAGGCTCTTTGCAACATGACTGAGTCTCTCCTTCGGAAAGTGTTGGTAAATGAATACGCGAGCGATGTTTTCCCTCATCTTTCTTTTCTTCCATGCTGCTAACTTACCTCCGATCTAGACAAGAGGACTAAGTTTGCACCCTTGGCGGCCAGCGCGGTGGCAATTGCTTCGCCGATGCCCATAGAGGCGCCAGTCTGTGGAGAGTTAGCAGCGGCTTGGTATCTCAGTATTACTCTAGTATTTGGACGAACCAGTAGGACATTCTTCCCATGTAAACCCATGTTCATTGTCGGATAGTCGAGGAGTTAGCCGGCCAAGTCAGAAGCGCTCTTGATCTCAAGTCAACAACACGGAATCACTGCGGAAGAGGAAAAGCTTCGAAGGGTCTTCTGAAATTTTATACGAGTTCCGACGGTGTTTTTCAAGTGATACATTTAGCAGTAACTATGACGATGGAAACTCCCAAGAGCTGACTCTCTAGTCGTCAAGCTTACAAATGTCCCCTACGTCACACATCGACTAACTAGGATAACCCCACTCAGTAGGGTACAACGTGAGTAAAGAAATCCTATGAGAGCAGCCGCTACATGCTAATCTTCGGCGTTAAGACGTACGAGGACGGTGATACAGTCTTGACGCACAATTTTCTTTCCCGCCGTAAAGGGTCTGTTGGCGGAAACCTCCTTCATTGGGCAAGATACACCTTGGCACGTCCACAGGTGGGGAGCGTCCCCGTTTTGTCTAATTTCCACGGACTTTCTCGCCGACTGAGTCATCGCCGCCTTGATCTTTGTGGTGTTAAATTTTGACTATCTGAAACGCTGCCAGAGACATTTTACAGACGACTAACTTTCATTGTGAAGTGCTTGGGTAAATGATAAATAATGTTGGACATCCTCACATTTCAATCCCCATTACACCTTGCTTCACTTGCGTAGGTGAATTTCGACATCTAGCGATAGTGAAATGTGAGATTTATGGCCGAAATGTTGGGCCGAGGGTAACGCATGTACACTGCGACACCAGCATATGGCGGTAGTTCTAGCATGTCTGAGGTCTATGAGATCATGTAGCTTTCGACAAAAGGGAAGATGCCACACGCTGCAACATCCGATTCCCTCGTACCAACATCTAGGGTTTCACAAAGAACAGCGGAAATACGAAGAGCCCCAGCATAAAGCAAATCCGACGACAAAGGACACCATGGAAGCTCGGCCGCACTGTTTTAGTCGGTAATACAGAGTACAGGTACAGATGCGGGAGTCAGTATCAAGACCATCGGAGCCGGAGAACGCCTTGGTTCTTTGGCCTACCTACATCGGCACCGGCAGCGTGGGAACGAATCGGATCTCATGCCGGCTTACATGCTATGTAGACGGTCCGATAACTGCGGCAGGCGGCACAGGGGGTCTCAAACAGCCGGGCTAGGTGGCACGACGGAACAATGGATGTCTCTTATAATTGAGGCCTATCCTGATAGGATTGAGCATACTGACTGTGCCGACAACACGTCAGGAAACATTCATACACTGAAGCAAGCTTTAACTGATGGTAACCCCAGACAGGCTCGGGGATATGTGTTTCTCATGCCAAAGAGATATTGCCCTCGCGCTTTGCCGGAAATGGAGGAGCCTACCGCTAAACAGCTGTCTTGGCCTGTTATAGGAGACGTTCTGATCTGCCACGTGGTAACTGTTACTAGAATGCCGGGAGTCAAAGTGTTGATAGTGGAGCAGCTGATTCGTGACGGCTCGTCTGGAGCTTTGCCAGGTTCCCTCGAACCGTGAGGTCTAGCTAGATGGGGTATCTTGGCTAGGTTAGTAGATCTCATCGGTTAACAACTGCCCCGGCACGCGGAGCGCGGCGCGGCGAGATATTGTCCGAGACGCGTTCTACGACTCTGAGCCTAGGGTCGGAAACGAGTCACTGCCACATCTCCTTGAACTCCAGATACTGTGAAGTTAAACCCAGAGTCAGAGGCCTGTTGTCAGGGCATTGGAGGTTGTGGCTTGACTGCGGTGGTTACTCACTGTCACCCATCTGCAGACCGATGTACTTGCCGGCGATGAAAGACACCCGCCAAACTAGGAGCGCGGGGTACGCAGAAGAGGCTCTCCTGATATCCGTAGATCTGTAGCCTTCATGTTAAGACCGAAGAGCGACCACCCGAGCCCACGGATTCTATGTCCGTTGCCTGCCGTCTCCATCAGCCGTAATAGCTGCCAGGCACGCACGACACGATAACGTGCAGACGTCCATTCGGAACCAGGGGAAACTATGCTCTCTTGGCTTCTAAAAATGTCAGCAGCGTCGCAAAGTGCCAAAGCCGCTCTCCAGTTCCGGCCGCGACCCACTGACGCACGTCCTACCCCGGTCTCGCCCCCCACGGCATTTCGAGTCGGGAAAAGAATCGTCCCCCCAAGAGCGAAGGGAAATGGCGAATAGCTTAGCCGAGGCTTTCCGAAGGAACCCGGTAAGTGGAGGAGGGGGAGGGGAAAAGTCGGGGACACAAACTGTTGACTGAAGAAGACACGCAGAGTCTCGGACTTGAGCTTTCAGTCAGTTCAGTCGGTTCAGTCAGTCCAATGCCATTTATCAAAGAAAATGTTCTCTTCACGCGAGAGTCTAATAGATCCAAAACGTTTCTCAAGAGCCGATTTACTCAACATCGCTACGTAGCATTCGCCCAGAAACTCAATAGCTAAACCGAAAGTCTACGAGTTGGAAACTTGGAGAGGAGGACACAAGGACGCGGGGTTTCAGCCAATCACCAAAGTACCGTAGTTTTCTACCGAATCAACTTGAAGAGGATATCAATTTCTAATTCGTGCGGAGAAAATTGGGCCTTCTAACGGGCCACATTTGCACTGACGCCATTTTGCAGTGCGGTTTGAGGGATACACGAGAGAAAAAAAAAAAGTGAGGAATCTCCGTTCTTCGGAGTCTCATGCTCAAAACAATTATCCAGCCAGTGTGTTATCCCATCAGTGTACTATGCACACACACACACGCACACCATGCACACATTTGCCTGCCGCTCTCACATGCTGAAACAACCACTCATTCAAATCAGAACGCCCCACAACTTTAGAACTTGTTCTGGTTGGCGTTCTGCATGAGCATCTGGGAATCCGGCTTGTACTTCTTGGACACCAGGCGGACGTCGTACTCGACGTCGAGGGTGGCGCCCTTGGCCTCATTCTGGACGGGCTTGAAGGTAAGCAGCAAATCGTCCTTGACGGCGCAGGCGGTGTCGGTCTCGAGGTACGGGTCGTCACTGGGGTAGAGCTGTGCCGTGACGCCGATGAACTCGGGGTGCGTAACCATCATGTGAATGTGCGCGGGGCGGTACGGGTGGCGGCCCATGAGCTTGAGGAGGTCGGCCGAGGGGCCGGAGGTGTCGATGGCGTACTCGGTGGGCTTGAGGCAGTAGAAGTAAAACTTGCCCTCGGCGTCCGTCTTGAACTTGCCGCGCAGGTTATGGCGGGTCTGGTTCTCTGGGTCAAAGACATCGTACTTTCCGTTGGTGCTGGCCTGCCACATGTCAAAGACGGCATCGGGAATGCCCTTGCCCGTCTCAGCGTCCTTGATGACACCGTGGAAGTATGTGAGCTGGCCATCCTTGGGCATGTTCTGGACGACGGAGGCGCCGAGGTCGCGGAAGGGGGTCTCGGGGGACCAGAAGGGGCCGAGAATGGTGGAAGATGTGGGGGCGACGCCGGAGTCGGTCTCGACCGTGTGGTTGATCTCGTCGACGAGACTGTAGAGGGGCAAGAATTGTTAGCCATTGGCTGCGTTTCTCCTTGCGAGCATCGCGCCGCACTGGCGTGGCCGGAAAAGCCGCACGCGGGGTAAATGATTTTCGGAGTAGACGGCCGCGCTAGACGGGCAGGGCAAGGGAAAAAGGAGATTGGTGGGGTGTCACTTACGACTCAATACCCAGGATATCGCACACTCTCCATGCCTCGTTGCGGTTCTTCTGGTAGGCCTGGCCAATGGAGTTGATGTAGTTGACACCCAGAACCCACTCCTCTTGTGTGAGCTCAACGTCTCTGCAGAAGTCGTGGAGGTGCTTGATCAAAGAGCCGAGAACCACTCTGTGTCTGGGCTTGGTCTCGGGGCTCATGAGGTCGATAACATGTTGTGTGAAGTTGGGGTCGAACTTGCTCTTGGTGCCATTGGCGCCGTTGGCGTGTCCGTTGACGCCGTTTGTGCCGTTCGTAGCCATTGTGATGGAAGTTGTGGAAATGTGTCTGGTGGAGGGTATCTGGAGGATAACAGGAACAACACGCTGTGGTAGAGATGGAGGAGAGCACTTGTAGGATGAGAGATTCTTTGAAACAGGAGCAAACCTGTGAACGAACCGGAGGGCCATGATGGTTAAGTATCAAAATCTGGAGCCCCGGATTTAGGGAGAGCACAACCTAGACAAGCCACGGATGGTGGGCATGAATCGTATGACCATCTTGGTTGCGGCAACAGAGTGCGGCATCGAGTGCGGCAACAGACTTCGGCAATTTGACTAGGGGTTCAGTTCTTTGGGGTAAACTCTCGCGCCTCGCGCTTTGTGCCCCGCGGTGGCTTCTCCATCCCACCACAAGACTTCGATCAGAGTCGACGGACTAACCCCCGCCATGGTCCCTGCGGTGGTTTACTCAGCCCAGGGGGGCAAAACATAGATCCGGGACAATGAGTAGCGATGATGGCATGGGTAAGTGTAATTCCCACGCCTAGGAGCCGAAATGCGGGGGAAACCCGTGGGAAAGCTTCAAAGCATGCGGGGAGGACACTCTGGAAGACAGACGGCGTCGACTACACTCCATCAAGAGCTGCTCCTTTGTTTCTAACTGGCTGGGTGCCCGGAACATATGGGGACAGAGTCCGTCCAATGCCAGATGGCTGGGATTCTGCTCACAGCTCGCTGACGGATCCATCTCTCCTGATTGGCATGACCTGTCAGGCGGCATCGCTGTCGGTTTTGGATTCAGCCGGAAAGGTTGGATCCTCTAGCTTTCCATCGTTCGATGTTTGACCATGTAGCGCATCAAATCGGCGCATCGAAGCGGCTCAATCGGGAAGAAACGCGGATGCTGGGGTTTAAGGCTGGCTTTCATGAGTCGTGGGTGATATGGGGAGGAATTGTTGGGACGATGAAGTGTAGCACAGCATGACGCCAGATTCAGTTGTCGCCTCTCTTGTCGAGACAATTCTTCGTCGTAGTCAGGCAGTCTCTGTTACGACAGATTGCCGGATCTCACCAAGTGGTTCCTTCAGTCGCGTTCTCCGGAATCGGCGCCGGTATTCATCAGCCCCCAGAACGGCCCTTAGCTTTAACAACGTTTCCCTGGGGAAAAGCTCACACGGATACAACTAAGACAGATTTGAATCATTCAACATTCATAAAAGTACATGTTTCTACTTTCTCTACGGCAAGTATCACCTCATCTTGGTGCCACGCGAGTCACCCTGTCCCGGCACCAATGATGCATTCGCGGCCTCCGGATCACTCCTCCCCGTCCCCAGATCCAAAAATCCCGGATCCGTCCCGCCGTGAAATCGCACCCGCATCCTGCCCGACTCCTGCTGAATCCGATACAGCTCCGGCGCCGCTCGTCCATTCTCCTTGAAGAACGTCAAATTCCTCGCGATGCGTCCTCCGTCTCTGGGCTGATCGCCGGCGCCGTTGCTTGTTCCGCCCGCAGTCCCCTTTGGTCCCATGGTATCGTGCAGCCCAAAGAACAACAGAGGTAGCACGCTGCCCTTCCAGACGGGCTGCTCCGGGTCGTTGTAGTTCTTGAGAATGATCCAGCCCAGCAGGATCCCGCAGAGACCGACCAGAATGATGGGCAGCGCGATATACTCCCTGTCAAAGTAGGTACACGTCGAGCTCGCCCACACCTCGCCCAAGGCTTCGGCCCGCCGGTTCAACAGAGCGTCCGCTCCACGAACGACGTCCGGCCCGAGCCCCGTCATCCGGAGCTTGTTCGTCACGGCCCAAGCAAAGTCGTCGACGGCGCTGGTGAGGCTAGTTACGGTGGCGTTCATGTCGGCCCATAGCGGTGTCAGCCACCATGAGTCGTAGCAGTTGAGGTGCCCGCTCTGCATGGAGTCGTACCGGCACGAGGCGCTTAGCAAGCTCACCTTGAGGAAGGTCGATATCGCGGAGGAGAATGTCCCATCCATCTTGTACAGGCATTCGTTAGGCACGCGGCTGACCTCGTCGCTGCCGCTCGTGCTGAAATTCGTCCAAATGCGCCCGGGGATGTCCAAGGCCTGGCTTTGGTTGGTGTAATCGTACCAGGTGCCGTTGTCAATCACACATGGGCTCTGTCTCGCTGTGTAATTGCCATACACCGAGTATCCCGATGCCGCGTTCTCAGCGGGATTGGATACAGCTATCGTCGTGCGAACCAGGGTCTCCGTCAACGTGTTGTTCACGTACCGCGCGTGATACTCCTTCATGCACGGGTACAGGATACACGAGGCGGCGACGTAATCCCCAAGATCACTAAAATAACTATCGTCGGATTGCGAGAGACGATGCGGGCACGTAAGCTTCGAGATGCCCGTAGAGTTGTCCGATGTGCAAGGAGACGTCGAAATCATGAGCATGCTAAAGTTGGCCATTGACATCGCGGCAGCCGCGGCGAAGTCGTCGCTGAAGAGCTTTGTGTACGCTGTCAGGTTGCTATAGCCCATCCACATGTACTTGCCGGCCAGAATATTGATGATGGCGCCGTCGTCTGGCAGCGAGAGGTTTCCCACCGTGTTGGGCTCGCTGACGAAGCTCGTCGTGTCGATACATTTGCTACACACCCCGATACTCGCGTGTGTGACACCTGTGCCGTAGTCCGCCCACGTACAGTTTCCGCTGGGGCAGAGGACCTGGACATTACTATCCTGGCTGCCTGGATCCGTGATCCCCTGGATCATGGCACTCTTCATGTCCACCTCGATCTCGTAGGACCCGGCGCCGACGCGGTAGTACGCAGAAGATCCCGGTACATAGTTCGCGGCGGGTATCCTAGCCATAATGTTATCCTCCAGCATCGGGCAAGTCACTGTGCGGACGGCCTGCTGTGTGACGGGGCCGACCGCCAAACTAGCAATCGTGACAGTGGCGGCACCGATGGCGAGGAAGCCCGTGGAGGAGAAGCCCAGGTTCCACATGAGCATTGCCAGCAGTTTCGTGGAGCCGAGGATGGAGCGACTCGCGGCGTCAAAGTCCTGGAGGTGCTGGAGAGGCCGGGTCTGTTCAGCGAACCAGGTCCATTTGATCTGGCCGATGATTTCTGCCACAGCTGCGACGATGGCGGCGCGGAGAAAGGTCGAGAGGAGGGCGATGGCGGAGTTGAGGTTGATTTCGAAGGGCCATTTCGGCATGTAGTGGCCATCGTAATGTGCGAGAAGCCAGATAATTGCGGCGAGTAGGCAGACTGCGACGAAGAGAGTGAAGATCTCGAGGCCCCAGTACCTGAGTACGTGACGAGTGTGGCCAGACCTCCTCGGACTCGGGGCGGGATGGTGGTGAACCGGTGGGTGTGTTGGAGGGGGAGGCGGTGGCGGAGGTGGTGGTGTGAAGTGAGGCTGTTTGTCTTCTACTACTTCTTGGAAGGGCCATCGAGGCTCGCTTTGATGTTGTGATCTTGAGCCAAAGGCGGTTATGTCTTCTTGTGGTGGGTTAAAGGAGGGTTGCTTGGCTCGGTCTTCCAGCTCCCAGCTGCGCTGTGCCTCTGGTACTCCCATGTCTCAAATGACAACACGGCTTGGCAACGTTAGCTCGTGTTTGAAGCTTCCTGGAGACATGAAAAGACTTACGCCAAGATGCGCGAAGCACAGCTGGATGAGAAGAACAGGTTGGCCTTCATATTTCGAGCGTGATAATGCCCCCTGAGAGCACCCACAAGGCCAGATTAATCTTCAAGCTTGCAAAGAAGGTTGATTGAATGAACCGAGATTGGCGTCTCCATTCAGATCGCCTCCCACATGAGAGCATATCCAGCCTCAAACCCTACGAGCGGACGAGCAAACCAATTAGGGAACACCAGGGCGTTGCGCCGTTGCTCGTATTCGACAGTATCCACCTTCACCCTGGGGCCCTGACTCGGAAATTTCCTTCCACAAGGTTGACTAGCCGATGATCTGTTGTGATGTTCTGGTGGAAGCGCCTGGGCTAACATGACGATCCACCTCACGGAGAAACGATCGCCGCGCTCGTTTCTCCGGCTTTTTTAGCGGAACTCTCATCCCAATTTGACGTTCACCGAGGTGAAGCTATGATGCACGCTGATCGAGCTGACTCAGCGTCGAGCATCTCACGCACATTGTAGATAGTTATATTGGTTTATCTTTCCCCATAAAGAATAAGTCGTAAGATGGAATGCTGCCATTACAGTCTGATAGCATTCATCTCCTTGGCGTCGCTTCGATAATACCATATTGTACGGAGAAGTTTTCCATGGTACATCTCAGGAGGGTTCTGGACCGATTCGATGGTGTCAGTAACAAGCTGATCTCCTGACTTTGAGTCGGCTTTTGTGTGGGCGGTGCATTCGCACGAAATCGTAATGTATTAAAAGAGTACACTAAGAACTTCATTATTCAACCTTGCAAACACTACTTTGTCTTCTCAATCAACTTTCCCTCAAACCATGCCGCGAACCTGACAGAATTTGCGTCTACATATCTCTGCACGAAGTCCGCCACGCAGACGACACCTGGTAGGAAAAGACATGTTGTAAGAAAGACGACAAAAGTCCAGCCAGCACCAAAGTTGGCTTCAAGTGGGATTCCGGTAATGGCGCTGAAGAACTGAAGGAGATGGTAGCCCCACAGCCAAAGCAGACAGCCATGGATGAGGTAGATGGCGTACGATATCCGGCCGAGATATTGAACGATTCGGCCCGTGAAAAATTGCTGAATGAATGGCGACTGGTCAATAGTGAAGACCAGCCAGACGGCGGCGAGAGGGATCCAAAAGAGGTCGCCTTCACCGTATGGTGCAGGAGTCAACCAGGAAAGGGTTCTAAAGCCTGGAGTTACCGTAACACTTCCGCTCCCCTCGGGAAACGACAAGATCCACAGGGCGCCGATCAAAGAGGCTACCTGGAGAGACTTCTTGGAGATGCCGTAGGTATTTGATGATTTGATTAACGAGATTGGCGCATTGAAACCGCTCAGTCCTTCACGTCGCCAATATGAAGGGCTCGATAGGTGCGGCAGGCTGTGCCAATCGTAGCCATTGCTTTCATCGTCGGCAGTCTCATCGCTGCCGTAAAATCGGAGGATAGCGAGAAGCAGGCCCGCGAAGAAAAGAAAGAATTGCCAGTAGCCGGAGTGGATCGTGTAGATCATGAGAAACACGAGGAAAAAGATTCGAACGCTGGGACGAACTCGGTAAAAAGCGATGTGTGCCAAAAAGATGGCCCGTGAACCTTCAAACTCCACGGGTATGGTCCAGAGTTGCGGCTGATAGGGGAATCCTAATCCTCTCTCCATATTTTTGGAAAAGGGATCGGACAAGTTTGAGAAGTGCATCCACCATCCCCTCACTTGATCCCAAACTGTGTCCAACGCTGGTGGTCTGAACCCGGGGACGGCTGGCCCGGGAATGGGCTCAAGCTCGAAGAGTTTGAAGTATGCCATGCCGGCGACGGCGAGGGACGTGATCATTGTCGGGAGGAAGAGGCGGATATACCGGCGAAAAGCGGAAGAAGCAGTGGCGATTGCGAATTCACCTGCCTTTTTCTGTTTGATGAGCTTCATGGGCTTGTAACTCAAGGCGTATCCCGAGATGACGAAGAACACGCAGACATTGGATAGTCCAGAAAGTGCCAAGCGAAGGATCGGTATCTGGAGAAGGAGAGGAGTGTCATCGCTCATGAAGCCGCGGCGGACCTCGATGGGCAGCGAGACGAGGGACCAGTGGTGGCAGACGACGAAGAATGCTGCGAGGCCTCGAAGTCCATCTGCAATGTCTTCAGTCAGCTAACAAATATAAGGCTGTGCTGAGTCTGAGTCAACTTACCGAGCCAAGCTGATGGGTGAAGGGGCTTTGGTATCGCATCGGGGTCCACTGGGTGCAAGAAACTCGGGACCAAGGCCAAGGCAAGCTTTTTAGGATATCTCAGCCAAGGCGGTGAGGGGGGAGGTGCGATGATGGTATCTACGAGAGATATATCATCCTCTATTTCGAAAGCCTGGATCTGCAGTCCCTCGTGCTTTTCGTCCTGGCAAAGACGAGCATACTCCTCCAAGTCATCCGATACAGATGAGAAAGACGCTTGTGAGGAAGATGAAGGAGAAGAAGGAGATGAAGGCTGGGAACTCAGCAAGCTGGACTCCAGGTCTTCGGACATAGTGCCGGCGGCGGTGCCCTCCAAGCAGGCGATGCTGCTGATTGCCGTACCTAGTGGTGATGTTGGACAATGTCAAGGAGGTGAGGCACCAAAAACCTTGCTAGAAAAGAAAACGAAGGGTCATTTTATGGAGAAAACTTGGCGACGTCAAAGGCCAAAAAGTTTGCCCCTTTTCGTGCTCCCCTCAAGCATGCCATAATGTCTCGTGGAGTGGAATCTTCGGTCAGGAATCCCTTGGGAGCCTATGAGCGGCCATATTGAGGGTCTAAATGTCTTTCGCCCAGTGCGCCCTTTCAGCTGCTCAGCAGTATGGTATGCATATAAGTTAGGAATGTTTGCGCCTATGCTGTGCTTGGCGAATCAGCCCTCAAGAATCGACATCCTTAGGATCGTGCAGTCAAGCTAAGGCTTTGGTGTTCTGGAACGAGCACAATAACTTGAACCAGTCCACTAAACTAGGGCTGAGCAGCCTTCCATCTCTAGGCACGTCTTCGCCTCCGGCTTATGGTCTCTCGGCTTACACAACTTACCCCAGATAGAAAAGAATTGAAAACCTTATGAGAGGCAAGCAGCAAGCTCGAATACTGGCTAGCTCGCTCTAAGATCCCGCCTTTGTTTCTGGTGATACCAACAAAAGGCCACCGAAGCTACTAATGAGTGGTTCTGGTCACACCAGCAAAAGATCAGCGGGCAAGGGAGTCGGATTCTGAAGACTGCATGTGCATTTGGAGGAAATTATACTTTGCCTTGTGCAACCCCAAATAAGACCACAAATGACCCCCTTTCTTTCCCTTTGATATGAGCATGCATTTTCAAAACATGTACACATATGTATCCGCTTCTTGTTTACACCGACTATTCACCCTGGTTAATCCGTCGATGGCGAAGTCAAGGAAATCCCGAGCTTGATTGAGATATAATTCTATCAAGAACCCAATCGCAATGCTCATTAAGTTACCCTTTCCAATTCATGACACCCATACGCCCGAGTCTACAGTGCAAAATGTGTTGCTGCATGCTTAGTCAACTTAGATTGGAAATAATTCGACTTGCTGAGAAGTGAGCACAAGTAAAGGGACTTCAACGATTTTGAAACAAACCCTTTCAGTCGGTTACACGGCATTTTTCTCTCGCGCCCTGAAGGTCATTTAAATATCGATGCTGACTGGAGGTTGAGAGATGGGGAATGGCTGTCTCGCACTAGGCTGGCACGATTAGCGGGCCGAGGTCAGGTCCCGCCAGGTGTTATTCGCCCGAACAAGTAGAGTCTCGGCCAGGAAAAGTGTGATCCAAATGGACGTTCTGGTATTCTTCGGCAAGAAACTCGGCTAGGAAGTTTTGGCGAGGGGCGGCGTGGATAGTCAATCGGTCAAACGGTTGGCATGGATCGAAATGAGCCTGCGTGCCAGTCGTCATAAGATGGCATGTTTTGCCGTTACACAAGACTGATGACATCATGTATCGGCGAAAGAGTTGACGTGATATGGATCCATGTCTAGGTAGATTATTCGATTAAGGATTAGGAGCTACGGGCGACGAGGGTTGGTGTATGGTAGTTCGCTGAAAAGCCAAAGGATTTATATCGAGATGACATCGGGCCAGAGGATTCATATTCATCGGCACATCCCATTTGCTTTAGTGCCATTGGAGTCTCTTAATGAGGTGCACATTTTTGTTACACATCTGTAATATCAAATCGGAAGAAAGAAGGAGAGGCTGCGTTACTTTATCTACATTGTAGAAGCGATGCTGATGCGAGACTGCAAGCCCCCCTTTTCCCAGATCAGAAGCGCCGAGACTCGTTTAAGCATCAGCCCGCTCGTACGTTCCGGCAAACAGAGCTACAAGCTTCGACCTGAGCTACAACTGAGACTATTGTCTTGGTATCGAAACGTGAGTGTGGCTGGCGTGTCTGCAGTGAAGAAGGGAGACTTCGAGGGACAGACCTCATCGATCAAGAATTTGTGATTCATTGATAACACTCAAAACAAGCCACGATGCGAGTCGTCAATGCCGCCGACGCATCATCATGCGAGCGTACGTCGACAAGTCCGGACTTGGGTGCTCGGTTTCGCACTCTGGACTTGTGTTTCTTCAGACCATTGGAAGATAACGGGTCCCGGAGGCTAAGTAACATAACTTGATTGGCCCCTCGACAAAAAAACAAGCATACGCCATTGCCCTAAGGTGAACAGACGAATCTGGCAGGATCTGTCTATTGCTCAGTCTCGTGCAGCGCGCTACATGTGTCCCTTTCGACACTGCCATAATGACATGCTCGTGAAAGACACAAGACGCTTCTACGAGCTCGTCAATATGCGAGAGATACAGCGACAATGATACGGTGAACATATTGGATGGTTGGTAGAATGGCATTGACATCAGGGAGAACTGGACACAAGGGAGGAGGTCACTAAGACACATTACTGGGTCGTTAGAGAAAATCTCTCTATAGGGGTATTCTGCTTAACGACATATCGGGGTCTCAACGTTCCGTTCAGCTCCGCAAGCCGTGCGCCTCGTGTCTCTCCATCCACGATTCATCTTCTCTTAGACATTGAGACATTCCACTCATGATGCCTGGTACTCACGGCAAGAAGCCAGAGAGGCTGCACCGGGCCGCGTACAGCTCCCGAATGAAGGCTTGCTGCTCTTGTCAGAAGCAAAAGGCACGTGCAGGTTCCCCGATCACTTGGCATGCGCGACGTTCCAACTAGTATGTCGCTAACCTCCCTCTGAAGGTGCGATGCTTACCGAGCGGTCGAGATGGGCCATGCCAGCATTGTAGGAAGAAGAACATTGAGTGCGTGTTTAAGCGTCCAGCTCGAGAGATCGAGCCAACGCCTAGTGACACAGGGCCACACCGGTTCGATTTGCCACGACCCGATGTGCGATGAGTTTCGCCGCTAATCCATCGTAAAGGTCGGATATGGTGGATGATCTTCGCATGCTTCACACAGCGATCAATAGCATCCTGCAACAGGGATCTCAACCGCCCCTCGCTCCCCTCAAAAGCTCCTGGACCGAAAGACTAAACGTTGAGGGCCTAAATCCGGATGAGGCTGGCACCTTCATCGAAGATGAGGATCAAGAGATGGAAGAGGAATCCGACCTATTACGTGCACAGAGCGAAGACCCCGTCGAGCCATTGAGCCAAGCGCCTATTAGCTCCTTGCATGAAATTACGAGGTTAAGGCCACTCAACGCGAATGGTTCTCCTCCCTCGGTTCCGACGGCAACTCAGCCTCCCGCACGAGAGCCTCAAGACCTGGTCACCGAAGGCAGCCTTCAGCGGAGTGATGCCGATCGTCTAGTCAAGAGATTCCTAGAAGAAACTGACTACTACCTCTATGGGATCACAAGCCGATTTAAAGACCTAGACAGTGTGCGCCGCGCATCTCCCCTCTTGTTTGTAGCAATCTGCACAGTCTCGGCTCTTCATGAACCCGGGAGTGAGCAGTTATACCGTGCCTGCAGTGCCCGACTTCGCAAGCTCGTGTCTGACTTCATGTTTAAGAAGCGCGTAAATCTGTACGATTTTCAGGGCTTATGCATCGCTTCCTTCTGGTTGAGTGATCTCTCATGGTCAGTGTCCGGTCTCGCCATCCGTCGGGCCATCGAGTTCCAGCTCGACAAGTCATTCTATATTGTCACAGGAACTGGGAAGCTCGATGACGGGTTCTCCAAGACTATTGGCATCAAGACCCGTGAAGATGCACTCAGCTGCTTGAGGGTGTGGTATCTATTCTTCGTTTGCGATCATCACCTCTCAATTCTCTATGGCAGACCTTCGAGCTTTGGCAGTCAATCATCGGTAGTAGCGTGGAGGAAATACTTTATCGCCGTTCCCAGCTCGAGCACCGACGTCCGTCTTTCCAGTCAGCTGGAATTGCTTTCGATATTGGAGAAAGTCACCCATATGTTCGGCTCGGACGTTGACAGTCGCACATCGGTACTTTCCCAAAAGTATCTTGAGGATTTCGGTTCACAGGTAGATCAATGGCGCACCATGTGGACTGCTCGATACACAAGTAAGTTCAGAGTGAGTATGGTGTTTGCGAGCGGCGGTTGTTAACTATGTCACGTGCTTCACAGCCCAACGCGACATCAAGAGTCATGTAGGAGACTTCCCTCGGAAGAATCTTCGTCTACACTACTACTTCGCGAAATTGTTCATTGGTTCCCATGTCTTCCGAGGACTTTCTTCCAACCAGGTCCATGATCCAATGCCGACAGAGTTTCACGAATTAGCTCATGCAACGGTCGAGTCCGCCAGATCAACGGTTTACCTTGTCAGCAACGACCCAGATCTCAAAGCTGGGTTCGTGGGATTGCCGCACTATAATCACACGATGATAGCATATGCGTGCAATTTCCTCCTCAAGGTCGCAACAAAGTATCATCGTCATCTGGGTATTGACCAGAATGAAGTCTTCAACGACGTGTCGAAAGTTTCAGAGTTCTGCCAGTCCATACAATGCACGCGGTACCACCTTGTCAGTTGGATGGGGGTTGGGTTGGAAAAGTTTGTCGAAAATTGCCGAAAACTTGCTGAAAGGCAATCAGAGACTTGCTTGGATGGACGTGAGCGCAATGCGACTGTCAACCCGGCTCTCTCTTCTCGAAAGACTAGGGCTATGGGTAGGATTACGACATCAAATGATCAAGATGTATGGGATTCGGCAAGACGAGTTGCTGAAGCATTTCCAACAAGTCTGCAAGGATTCGAGGATGGTGACTACAACTTTCCAGAGAATACAGGTGATATGGACAGCATGGAGAACTTGGGTCTAGACATGTTGGGGGGGTATGACCTGTCCTGGGATTCATTATTACCGTCATTCAACTTTGAGCACATGGGGTTCGGTTTACTCTAGACAATAGTCAACTAAGGTAGCTGACCAAAAGGCCTAGAATATCTGCAAAGACCAAGTTTATGGTCTAGCTTTAGTATATTGTAAACACAAACACTGCCATGTTGCTCATGCTAGGTAAAGTGAACTGGGTATTTCTCAGTACGCCCTTTTTGACTCACAACCATGCCGCAATTTAAACCCTCACAGAACAATACTAATTGCACAACACCTATCCCTTGCGCCACAGAGACAATGAGGTTGAATGGATGAATTGATTTTTAACTTAATTGTATTTGACTCAATACCTATTTGCTAAGCCATTCAAACTCGTCACCCAAAAACTGCTTTGCTCGGAGGTCCCCAGAGCGAGCATGACCCTCGAAGTTCTCAGCGCGGGCAGCGCGACCACACAATCGACCCAGCTCCCCGCTCTCCGACTCAGAAACAACTTCCTGGTAAGTAACAGTCTTCAAGAACTTTCCCACCCAGAGCCCGCCGGTAAATCTGCCTGCTTTCTTCGTTGGTAAAACATGGTTTGTGCCGATGCACTGGTCAAATGTTAGCAAAGAACAGAGGTACTCAGAAAGCTGAGATCATCACCTTGTCGCCATACGAAACGCAAGTCTTCGCCCCAAGGAAGAGAGCGCCGTAATTTCTCATCTTCTCCAGTGCCTCCCTGGGTTTCTCGGTAAGAATTTGAACGTGCTCGCTTGCGTAATCATCTGCCAAAGCATACGCCTCGTCCAAAGAATCGACTACAATTACTTCGCCATACGTATTCCAAGAGATCGAGGCCAGTGGTGCTGTCGGCAGAATCTTCAGCAGGCGATCAACCTCCTCGATGGACTTTTTGGCTACTCTGCTCGAAGTGGTGATCAGTACTGCCGGAGTATCCGGTCCATGTTCCGCTTGAGATAGGAGGTCCGTCGCGACGGTTGTCGGATCCGCTTTGTCGTCGGCAACAATAAGGATCTCGGTTGGTCCGGCGGGAAGGTCGATTCCAATTTCCCCAAAGAGCTGCCGTTTGGCTTCTGCCACGAAAGGGTTGCCTGGGCCTGCAATGAAGTCGACCTTGTCCATGGTTTCGGTGCCAATGGCCATCGCCGCAACGGCCTGGACGCCGCCGAGGATCCAAATCTCGTCAGCTCCTGCATAGTATGCAGCTGCCACGGTCGAAGGAGGTATCTTCCCGTTGATCGGAGGCGTGCAGGCGATAACTTTGGGGACCCCGGCTGCCTTGGCCGTGAGGATTGTCATATGCGCAGACGCAAGCAATGGATATCGTCCTCCGGGGATGTAGCTATTCAACTATTAGTAACTTGGCGTATGTGGAAAGAATCACATATGAAGACGTACGCTCCAACTCGATCAATGGGAATATTCTTCTGTCCAAGGAAAACCCCTGGGCGAATCTCGAGCTCGAATTCTCTAAGAGAGGCTCGTTGAGCTAGAGCAAATGTCCGGACATTGTCCTGCACCGTCTTAATGTCGGTTATGACTTGGGCAGGGACCTTGGCAACAATGGAGTCAATGTCTGACTGGGAGAGCTTGAAAGACGCCGGCGACCATTTGTCAAACTTTTCTGAATAAGCCCGAACAGCTTTGTCGCCAATCTCCCGGATGTCGCCGATAACGCCCCTTACAATACCTGGGACATCGAGCGGGAATACAGAGTTGCTGCCGTTTGTAGCAGCTCTGGATTTGAGATGTTGAACCATTTTGAAAGGTGATGTTGCGTGGGCAATGGTATTGACTGCGCCAGGGAGTTGTTGCAGGTAAATGAGCTTTGAGTATGGTAAATCTATCTGGGGAAATGATGAGAGTGGCAAAGATCTAGATATCTTTCCCGAAGAATTGACCTCTACTTTAATATGTAGAGCTTCACCATCGACGTTGGGGTCGTCATATGACGGAGTTTCTCGGAATTCCGTCGATGCTGTAAGCGACTCTATTCTTAAGTTGGAAGTATCTTTCTGGTATTAAGAGAATTAAAACTCTCATTCTCCCGCAAACTGCCAGTGCTTGAGTAGCCTTTTCAAGTTCGCATATCATCTGCTTTCTCTATAACGCCACTTAGAGAGGCCATGATTTACTCTAACAATCAGTCCCTGGTAAGTTACGAGTGTAAGATCGTGCTGCTCCAATGAGGTGCAGTATACCCCGGTAGCTGCATTGCGCTATCTAGAGAATGAGGATAACGCGCATGAATATTCACGGACAAGAACTCGGAATTCCGAAATACCCCGGAGTGACAACTTCGTCATGCGGGGCAAGGCTCCCCCAACTTGACGAACCTCTCTCATGACGGCTTTCTATCACGGCAATCCTTGGGCTTCGCCAAGTAGTAATTCAGATCATTACATAGGCGGCACTCGATTGAACTCTTTAACATTCTCGCATCGCGATGATGCCATCTGAGGTGAACGAACGCGTCGCCCTCATCGGACTGGGGGCCATTGGCATCTCCTTCGCCGCTCTCTACCTAAGACATACACAGAGCACCGTCAGAGTCTTTGACACGAGGCCCGACCTCGAACAACACCTTTCAACGGTCTTACCAGGTTACATCGACTCCGAAGATGCGTCGCTGGGTATATCCCGCCTGCGCGAACTCGGTCGCCTCGTGATCTGCACCACGCTCAAAGAGGCGTGCAGTGGCGCCACCATCGTCCAAGAGCAGGGCCCCGAGAATCCAGACTTCAAGCAGTCCATCTGGCCAAAGATTGAAAGCTTCGCGCCTGCCGGTGCACACTTTTGGAGCTCGACGTCCGGCATCGCTGCGTCAGCTCAGAGCCGGGACATGGTGGATAAGACTCGTCTTCTGGTGGTTCACCCTTTCAACCCGCCGCACATCATGCCTTTGATCGAGATTGTTCCGTCACCGACTACAAACCAGAGCGAGGTCGAGTTTGTCAAAACGTTCTTTGCGGAGCTGGGGTCTGGTCACCGACCTGTGATCATCAAAAAAGAGGTCCCCGGTTTCGTAGGGAACCGGTTGGCGTTTTCGCTGCTCAGAGAGGCTTGTTCACTGGTTGACCAGGGCGTCGTCAGCACGGAAGACGTAGACACCATAATGGAAGCGAGCTTAGGGCCTAGATGGGCCGTTCAAGGCATCTTCAAGTCGTATAACATGGGTGGTGGGGTAGCTGGGATTCAGGCTTTCTTAAATAATCTTTCTGGGACTATTCAAGAGGTCTGGGATAGTTCAGAACCGGTGAACTTCCAGGCAAAGGAAGCAAATGAGTCAGGGAGCATGGGCAAGGACGACAGGCCGGCATGGGATGCGAAAGTTGTGCAACAAACGGTAGATGCGTACGGCCTGCCCGATCCGGAACAGTTCCAGCAGCGAGATGGAGCGTTAAGAAAGGTGTTGGACGTTCAGAGACAGCGAGAGGTGGGAATTAAGAAGTAGGGCGGTTCTACATATACTGTATGTATGAGGGAGGGGATTCTAGGAAGAGTCTCGACGTTTGTGTTCCTTTCTCCGCAATCAAGTATAGAGGGCGACTAAGAGGCTTACTACTTGTCTTGATTTGACTGACGCGAATATCGTATCTCAGGCTAGGAGATCAATGTAAGGCTGTTCAATGCGGATTGATCTAGTATTCGCTACGCGCTTTCCCAGAGGGTACCCACCGTCGCCAGCAATGAGTCGCTGAGGGTTGCCTCGAGACATGGGCCGCATGATTGACAAGGAGGTACCAAACACGCGGAACAACTGAACATGAGGACGATCTGGGGGGCAATAGACCCAGAATCCGGGATAGTGGTAATGGCCCAAAGAAATCAACGTGTAAATCAGGTCAATTGACATCTGTACGCTGGGCCCGGATGACTTCGCTGCAAGCATTTCAGGTTCTTCAGACAAAAGCTTGAAATGGTGATATTCCCGGCCAGACCCGGGTTACCCGGGCTCGAAGTCCGAGATCCTTGTTCGTCGGAAGACCCCCCGCGGGACCTCTTCCGTCTTATCACAATATCCGTATCTTCCATGGGCAAACATTATCCGTATCTTACTTCTTCGTGTTGGGTGAGGGATTGCTACCTTATCTAACGGCGGGGTAGGTTCGCCATTAGTCGTTCGGCTGTCACGCGGTTGCAACGTGCCGACGGTCGTCAAGGGGATCCCTCCCCCGACGGTTGGGAACTTTTTGTTTTGGGTTTAACGCCAATTGGACCAAGCATTGCCGCGTCGGGACAAGACTTGTCAAGACGATAAGCGGGCAAGGGTTCCCTCAAATAAGTTCCTCTAACAGAATCCTATCCGCACGTAATCCTCCATGTTCCTTGTCGGTTCCCCCTCCTTCCGGGGAAATAAACGGCGCCACCCCGCCCCCGGCTTCGGGCGAGATAACACGAAATGCCTGGGAAAACCACTATTTCGCACTATTGAGGTGGAGAAAAGACCATTTATCCATGATAACGATACCTCGTGGTACGTTACGGTGGGATGGTCCTGGTGACCGTTATCACGTCCTTCGGGCAATGTAGGCAACTTCCCTCTTGGGATCATCATTGAGTTCAATTGTTCAACTGGGTTCAAGTTATATGAGTGACGCGTACGTACCTTAATCGTGAAGCATATGTGCTCCTGTTGGCCTCTCGCAAGCTGCCATCACGACCTCGCCTGTAAAACCTCAAATTGATCAGCCATTGGGCTAGGTATGACGATCTAGGCAGTGAAACCCCATCTCGTAGAGCCTTGCAGTAGCCACCAATATCAACACCACGATCAACAATAGACACACCCAGTAGCCGCCATGGCGGACGAAAAGAACCATAGCGTGGACGTTACGCAGGCGGCGACAGACCTCGAAAATTTCCAGCGCGATCATCAATGGGACCCCAATCTGCCCCAGGAGAAAGCCGACATGGTGAAGAAGGCTCTTCAAGATGGCGATTCGGAGGAAATCATGGCCGCCGATGCCATCTTGACGGAGGACTCGCCGTATGAAGAAGTACGTGCTGCTGTACGCAACACGGATGGCGGTGAAGTCGCAAACACAGTTCGAGCGTGGATTCTAGGTATGATTTTCGTGACAATTGGGAGTGGTCTCAATATGTTTTTGAGTATGAGGTAAGTGAAAACGAGATAAACAAGACTTGAGATGTTAGGCACACCGATAGCTGACAACCTCTCTCGCTGTTCACAGGAGTCCCGCCATCAACTTCCCGTCCATCATTGTCCAATTGCTTGTGTATCCAATCGGGTGTCTCTGGGCCAAGGTCATGCCGATGAAGGTATTCAATACCTTCGGCGTCCAATGGACCTTCAACACCGGCCCCTTCACAATCAAGGAGCACGTTGTCATCACCCTCATGTCCAACGTTTCCATCGGCTACGCCTACAGCACCGACGCTCTCCTCGCGCTGCAGGGCAAGCCTTTCTACGACATCAACTTGGGATGGGGCTTTCAGCTACTCTTCACGCTGAGCTCCCAGCTCATCGGCATTGGCCTCGCGGGACTCTGCCGCCGGTTCCTCGTCTGGCCGGCCGCCATGATATGGCCCAATCAGTTCGCCAACACGTCTCTATTCTACGCCCTCCACGACAAGAGCAAGAGCGATGGCACGCACAGCAACGGCTGGGTTATCAGCCGGTACCGTTACTTCTTCTATGTCCTCGCGGGCATGTTCTGCTACTACTGGGTCCCGGGTGTTCTCTGGCAAGGCTTGTCGGTATTCGCCTTTGTCACCTGGATCAAGCCGAACAACATTGTCGTCAACCAGCTGTTTGGAGGCTTCACCGGCCTCTCTCTAATCCCCATCACGTTCGACTGGACCTATGTGTCCGCCTATCTCGGCGACCCCCTTCTCTCGCCTACACACACGCACGTCAACGTCTTGATCGGCCTCTTCACTTTCGTCATCATCCCCACCATCGGAATCGCCTACTCAGGCGCCCTCTTCGCAGACTACCTCCCCATCAACACCTCGCAGACTTACGACAACACTCAGAGCTCCTACAACGTCAGCAAGATCCTCGGGCCGGGGTACACCTTCTCGGAAGAAAAGTACAAGCAGTACTCGCCCCTCTTCCTCCCGCCCACCTTTGCCCTTAACTATGGTCTCTCCTTCGCCGCTCTCACCGCCGCCATCGTCCACTGCGGGTTCTTTCACGGCAAGGAGATCTGGTACCGCCTCAAGGCCGCGCGCAACCAGGAAGCCGACATCCACCTCAAGCTCGCGAAAAAGTACGTGGACGCGCCGGAGTGGTGGTACGCCGTCCTCCTGCTCTTCGCCATCGGCCTCGGTCTCGCGACGGCGGAGGGCTACGATTCCCAGCTGCCGTGGTGGGCCTTCTTCGTCGCCAACTTCCTGGCCATGATATTCGTGATTCCCACGTGCACGATTCTTGCCATCTCGAACCTTGGACTCGCGCTCAACGTGCTGTCTCCGTTCTTGGCAGGCTTCATGATCCCCGGGAAGCCGATTGGTGTCATGATCTTCAAGGTGTATAGCACGATTACTCTGGGTCAGGCGCAGACGTACTCTGGCGATCTCAAGATGGCGCATTACATGAAGATTCCGCCGAGAGTCACGTTTTGGTGTCAAGTTGTGGCTACCATTTGGGCAGTGTTTGTGCAGATTGCCGTGATGAACTGGACGCTTGGCAACATTGAGAACTGTTGTGCGCTGTAAGTCTACTCAAGGAATCCCTCATGAAAAACTCGCTTTAGGATTGATATCTGACCTTATGATCATAGGACGCAACACGCACACTTCACTTGCCCCAACGGCCGAGCCTTCTTTTCCTCCTCCATCGTATGGGGAGTCATCGGCCCCCGCCGCATGTTCGGCGCCGGCTCCATCTACCACAACTTTAACTACTTCTGGCTCATCGGCGCCTGCCTGCCCATCGTCTTCTACGTGCTAGCCAAGGTCCTGAACCTCAAGTTCGCAAAGGTCCTCCACGCGCCCGTCATGCTCGGCGCCATGGGCTGGCTCCCGCCGGCGACGCCCCTCAGCTTCTCCAGCTGGGCCATTGTCGGGCTCATTTTCAACCACGGCGTGCGCAAGAGGTTCCACGGGTGGTGGCAGACGTACAACTACATCACCGCCGCCGCGCTGGACGCCGGTCTCATCATCAGCACCATTGTCATCTTCTTTGCCATCACGTTGCCCAACGTCACGATCCCGCAATGGTGGGGAAACGTCGACGTATATAACACCTTGGTGAGTGCATATGCAGTCGGGACTGGGACCCTCCCCCTTCTCCCCCGCGAAACGCGGTTGCTCATGGGTGAAATACATCCGCTGGCAACGCTATCTGACGTCGAGCTCATTTTAACTAATCGTGTCTTGCATATAGGACTCCACGTATGGCGCCATTCTGAAGACGGTGGGGGAGAATGAGACCTTTGGTCCGGCCAGTTGGTGAGAGAGGATCGTGAATCATCCTGCATGACGATGCAGACAGCCGTAGTTAGCGCCCCCGGGGCCCCCAGACAGGAAATTACTATTGAATTGCTGCCCAAATTGATACCTAAGCCAATCTTACATCCTTCCATCTCCTTCTAGATGCATTCTAGAAACCACACTTCAATAGTCACGGCGAATTCGGTTAGCTGGCTGGAAACATTGTGAGATTGATCGTAAAGCGGGGGAGCGGAGACAAAACTCGCAGTCTGATTATCATTTGTACAGTTTTTTTGGTGATGTATCCTCTGAAGATCATGATGAATGTGGAAGGGAAAAAAATAGCAGAAAAGGAAATTTCAAACAAGTCTAATTGTACTCCGTGAATGCTGGCGGATTCTCGTTATTTGTTGATGTTGATGTCGTAGTCGCAGCAGGAAAGAAAAGAGGCATTTGATGCATGCAATCATGATACGTGTCATAAAAAAAGAGAGAAGAAAAGACATTCAGTGCCGCCGTCATGCCACTCATGGCACCCGTTTCAAGAGCCGATCGATCGATGGTAACCAAATCATCATCCTAGAAATGCGCGTCATCTCATCACCCATCGAATCCCAATGTCACAACTCATTTTTTTTTTTTTCAGTCCGCCCTTGCCGTAGCGACGTCGTACATTGAGCCAGAGACCTCGTGTTCAGAGGCCCGATGGCTCCGGGATCGCGGGAGGTCGATGCGTTGTCTGTACGGCCGAGCGGCGCCGTCGACGTGGTGATCTGACATTTTCCGTGGGAGGTCCTCGCCTCTCGGCGGGGGCGCTTCTTTCCGGGAATGCCTTCTCTCTCGAGACGCGTGGGACCGGATCGAGGACGCGTCGTCGCGCTCTCGCTCTCGCGGGGGCGACGGCTGCTGCATCGGCATCGGGGACGGGAAGTCCATCGGCGGTAGCGGCGGGGCCGGGGGCGGAGGGGGCGGCATTTCTGCGCTGACGAGGGGTTCCCGGTCTCGGTCACGGTCCCGTTCGCGTTCCCGGTCGCTGCGGTCACTGCGTTCACTGCGGTCGGGTTTCCGCTTCTCGATGACGGACGAAGTCTCATCTGGTCGCAGAAACACATCGGGATGGTCCGGATCGCTTCCGTCCTCGGGCTCCTCGTCGAAATTGAACTCCTCCTCGTCATCCTGGCTTCCACCGCCGTTGACGACGCTCGCCTCGAGCTTGGCGCCCTTCTTGCCGACGAGTTTGCCCTGGCGGTACTGCTCCAACGCCTTTTTCAATACGTTGCGCATGACGGCCTTGTTAACGTTCCTCCGCACCCGGTCGAAGTAGCGCGTGACGTCGCCGACGACCATGACTTGTGCATCGTGGTCGATCTCGAGAACGTCGGCGTAGTTTGCGCGTGAGTTTTCCTTCACGCGGAACTTGCCCGGGCGCAGCTGCATACCGACAGGGGAGAAAGGGAGGCGGTCGAAGGGCGGGGTGCGGTCGTTCTCGTCAAAGACATAGCCCTGCTGGCTCGAATCGATTCCGGGTTTCTGGAAGTCATTCTTCGTGGGGGTGGAGATCGGACTGGTGGTATCGACGATCAGAGGTTAGCGAGATGAAGTTCTGGGCTTGTTATGGTTCGAATCGGTTTGCTGACGGGGGTGTGGTGGGATGAGGGGTGTTGATGAGGGGTAAAAAGCAACAACAAGCTCGACCACATCAACAGAGGGATACCAGCGGTTGGAGAATGTAGATAATCAAAACTTACACACACACGCAGTAATGCGGAAACGTGTCGCTATGTCGAAGGACGATGAAGCGCGTGTAGCCAAGGCACTTCCACTCCCACTCGAACTCGTGCGAGTCTGCCCAGAGGAACTCAAAGACGTCGCCCACCTCGCATCTCGACGCGGGGCCAATATCGTAGCCTTTGCGAGCTGAAGATTGACTCAATGTTAGCACCCAAAACAAGACCCTTTTGAAGAGGGTTTCAAGGACCATTGATCCATGTGTTGTACTTACCCAGAGGGTGCTCGTACGCGCTCTCGTGTGTGCCTATGGACGCATCGTCCCCGTTCCCCGAGTCACTCTTAGTGCTCTTGGTACTCTTACTCCTGAAAGTCGAAAAATCTCGGTTCCCGATCACCATCTCTTGCCACACATCCCAGGAACAGGAAAAAGAGGGAAGAGAAAAAGGAAGGGAAGAGAGTTTCTAAAGGGGGTTGTTTAAAGGTTCAATTGTATGTATGGTGTATGGATAGCTCTGGCGGGGACCGAAGAGAGGAAAAAAAGGTCGAGGTAAGGCAAGGTAGGTAAGAGAAAGGGTACGGATAATGGGTCAAATCATTGCAACATGACGGAGACTGAGACTGGGGGTGTGGGATGAGCGGTGGGATCGCAGTACCTAGGTAGTGGTTTAACCCAACCACGAGAACCACAATCGAGCAGCAGAAACCCGGGGCTGACTGGACTTCTTTGGGCTTGGGATCTCGGAGCGATTGAGATGAGGCAGGGCGAAATGCAACAAGGGGGAGGGATCAACTCGGGTAGAGACAGACTCTGCTTCCTGAGTACGGAGTAGAGGTGAGAGGTGAGTGAGAGAGGCGAGGCGAGGCGAGGGTCGTGAAGGGCGGTCTCGTCGAAAACCTGCGGCCACGCTTGCGAGTCGCAGCAGAGAGAGCAACAGACCAAACAGATTGAAGGGATTCCTGGCTGGCTGCTGCCTCTCTCTACTTTTTCCGCCACGTCGCTACTATGGATCATGCGCGGTGTATGATGCCCAACCTCCACTGCCATGCGTCGGCCGCGATGTTAATGGCCGCGGTGAGGGTTCTCGTCTCCACCCCGCCGCCATTCCAACCAGACGTGAGTTGTCCCAGAGTCCCCTCTCCCTAGGAGTACATGAGGTACAGGGCCCGTTTGTTGTCACCGCCATTTCGGCACGGATCATTTCACCGGCATGCGGCATGCCGGGGTTGCTGATCAATCAGTCATCTTCGTTCGTTATCTCTCTCCCATTCCCCTCTGACGTTGTTTGGAGGGACAACATCATACTCGAATTGAGACTCAAGTTCAGCTCCTCGTTACTCCGTATCTTCAACAGCTACGTGAAAAGGAGGGTGTCATGAAGCCTAACTTGACCCAGGACCGTCCATGTTGCCCTGTGCTAGCACTGTTGGGGGGTGCGGGTGCTGCCGCCTTACTATCAGCTGAATGAGGGGTTAACGCGCCTATTAATAGGAATGGTTTAGGGGCCCTGCACAGGAATCTCCCGATCGAGGGGAACAAGCTCGTCGAACAATGTCTTTGAAATCAGACAGCCAGACTTTCAAAACAGCTCTTGAAGTGAATCACCAACTTAATGATCACATCGCGAGAGCCTGAGAGAGCTCACGAGACAGTGTAACCACTGGTGGCTCACCTCGAGCATATGATCAAAGTCGCTCGATCGATCTGTATCGGTGCCTGAGCGCAAGGCCCAACGGCGTGGCACAACGCTCTGCAGCAGCAGCAAGGATCCCTGTGTCTCACCCAACCAGGAACAACACGTTAGACATTATTAACTCTGTCGCGATAACTCTTGATTACCCTTACTAGAAGATGGAAAAGCGTAGAATCGTGAGAGATGATGCCTTTGACTAGACTCACGGTCTAGTACTCGGTATGAAGGTTGTACATGTATGCACGCGTCATGTCGCGATCAACTGCAGCGTTGTCCAACGTGTTCGCACTGGCACAACTGGGTAACAATTTAGCCAAGCCATTCTCCGCCCGAGGTAGAAACCCCAGTGAGAATCACTCACCGAGAGTCTAAGACGCGGTCAACCGGATTGAGTCATTTCTACGCAGAAAACGAACATACAATGTATGATCTGATAGGTACTTAGTTAAAGACCCAGATAATGCTAAATACACAGTTACAGATGAATGTAAATTACAAAGAACAACAGTGGCCAAGGTAATGTGCCACTACCGCCAGCACTCAGACCCTATATCCAGCATCCAAGTCCTGGCAAGCCTAGTAAATGCCGCATTTCACCGCCCCTTGGTGAATGTTCCCGTTACAGTCCATGTCTCCCTTGGCTCCCACCTTTCCGTCACTATTCTCAAACCTTGTCATCGCATTGTTGATGCATTCGATCACATCCTGCCCACCGACAGTGAGGTCGACGTTTCCATTCACCTTGGTCGCCTCAACATCAAAGGAACACCCGCCAAAATTGGCAATTTCGCGCTAATTTTTACCCACAACCTGAACCGTTCAGTCGGTGCTCCCGTCGGCCTCAATGTTCTCGATAATCTGCCGGGAATCGCTCGCGCCCGGCGACGCGCCGCCCGTTTGGTCCTCAAGCGACGCCATGCCGCAGTTGTCCCTGGCCGGCGGCACGTCTCACGGATAGTTCTCGTTGAAGCCTTTTGCGTCGTCCTTTGTCGCCCCTTCCCATCTCTGCAACGCGCGCTCAGCGCGACAGAAGGGGATGCGAATGAAGCCCGGCCTCGTGAAGTCCACGTCCTGGAGGTCGTTCTGCACGCCCTCGTCATCGGTGCTGGCGCCGTTCTTGCCGCCGTTGGCGAGGTACGTACGCACTGCGCTAGCGATCAGGTCCTCTTTCGTGACGCCGCCAAAGCTGTCGCCTAGCTTGCCCACGCTCCTTGGCGTCGAGAATTTATTGTCCAGGCATCCGTCGTCGAAGCATTCACAAGCGTCGCCGTCCGGGCTGGCGAGGGAATACAGCTTCCCGTTATAGCACGCGCCCGTGGCCTTCATTGTGTCATCAGAGAGGTAGTCGTCGAGCAGGTTGAACGCGTCGCAGCCATAACCCGAGTTGATGACGAACGCCCACGCGCTCGAGGCGTGCCATATTGCGGGGATGGCGCAGCTGAAGATGGATTTTCGAATGTTTTATAGCAGCTCGTTAGATCCCAGGTCCGGTCTGACGTCCTTTGGGTACAGCTTGCCGTCGCCGATGGCCTTGCCTAGGAGGCTGACCGAATCGGGGGTGCCGTCAAAGACGCTTTTGAAGACAAGGGAGGTGACAGTGGCCTAGTCGTCGATGACTTGGCCCGTGTAGTTGAAGAGCTTGTCCTGGTCCTCGAACTTTCAGTCTGGTTCGCCCTGGTTGGGCAGCAGGTATTTGGCAATGGTTGAGCTTCGGCCGATCAGTGTCATGCTGGTGTCCTTGAAGTTGTCCAGGGGCTTGACGAATTTGGGCAGAGACTTCAGGAACGTGTTGAAGAAGGGAGTAGCGGCAGATAGAGCTCTGATAGTGATGGAATCGATAAGGAGAAGCCAGGTATCGTCCTCCTCGGGCGGGATCGGCGCAAGCTTGTTCTCCATGTCATAGAGTGCGACAACAAAGCTTGGAGCGGCCTTGTACAGAGCATCATAATACTTATCGTGGATATTCCGGGTGACGACGAGCGAGTTCCTGATCAACTGCCCCGTTAGTCCTGAGTAATCGCCGTCCATGCCCTTGGAGGAGCCGTGAGTGTTACATATTGACGAGGGCTCATCGTCTGGATGCTGTTGACCCAGTCAGAGCTCCTCGACGTCACAGTGAAGCTGGTCCGTCGCGCAAATGTGCGTGCAGTCGAACTCGGTCCAGTTGCGGTTACGGGTAGAATTTGACTTGGGATCCAGCCCGCTCACGGCGAGCTGCTTGAATTGCGCCCAGTCCTTCTTGGGCGCGGGCACGTCGTAGTATTTCTGTAAGTCTGTCACCCCGTCCGTGGTGCCACCCATGTCCCAAGTCATGTAGAGCGCCGTGCGGGTCTTCTTTGTACTGACGCCCATGTAGGCGACGTACTCGCCGTCATCGTAGACGAGCAGATAGCTATTACTACTACCATCGAGGCAACTCGTCACCACGCGTCCGGTACGGCGTTTGTCGCTCATGATCTCGAGAATCTCGGCATCAGCCCTTTGCCAGACTGACCAAACATGATGAAGGGACCGTCTATCGCCGTGCCGTGATCAATGTACTTGCACATCTGCTTGATCAGAGAGCGACGGCCGGCGATAGCTTGGCTAAAACCCTCCTGCTATTGGCCGCAGTAGTAATCTAAGTCAGATCCTTTAGGTACGGTCACCTACGAACTACATGCAGGAGGTACGAGAGGACGACGCAGGAGATTCTTGTTCAGCCTGAGCTTGGATGCCTTGTACACAACATCTATGAGGCTTCAATTCTCACAAAAGCTTCCATCTTCAGTCATTTCGGTGCAGGTGGCAAATACAATCCAGCCCTTTCTCATATCAAAATGTGAAAGATCGCACCCGATGCGGCAGTCAAACACACCATTCCTCCAACAACCAACCCATGACCAGCATCATTTTTATCACCATTGTTTCCCGAAGGACACTCGATTGGTGGATTCTGAGACTCGCACGCCCGAGCAGTTACCGAGGCGGAGATGCTTGACGCCTCGGCCTCGCTGACCTTGATCTGGCAAGGGTCCGGCGTGACCGTTGATGATGCCGCCACAGCACACATACCGCCGCCTGGCCACTTTGCAATTCCGGTGGAGTTAAGCGAATCAGTCACGTTGATAGCTACCCCCGCATGAGACGAACAATCCTGCCCATTTGTGGCAGCCACAAGATCCACACTTTGCCCGGCGTTCTTGGTGGTGAAGATGATGGCATTGGACGTGTCATTGCTGGGGATATTGTATGGATACTTGAATGAATCCTCCGTGCAGCTAAACCATTCCACGGTATATCTGATCTGCCAGGTCCCCTCAACGTTGAACATGACGAACCCGCGGTATTCATAGTATGGGTCGCTGCTGGAGAAGTTGGCAAATCTCACGTCGTACTCCGTGGTCTTAACTGAATCGCTCTTGTTATTGTAGTTCCATATCGAGAATCCGATCTTGGGAGCGAGACCCGGCGCAAACTGCGAGTTTCTAAAACCGAATATGATGGGCAAAACCGGCGTGGGCGCGTATGTATCGTTGCGGGGGAAGACGAGGTCAACTTCCACGATGCCCGAATGGTCGCTCGCGGCGACGGTGGCAGCTCCGAGGATGGTCCAGACATAAGCCCTAAGAGACCACGACCGGGCCTTCCAGGATATTGCGTGCATGCTGACGTTCTACTAAGAATGAAAACTTGATGGGTAGCAGCAGATGATGTTCGACGCCCCTGGTTCGATGCGGTAAGATAGGCAGGCAACGATGTTGTGATGATGGGGAGAAGAGGCACGGAAAAGTCGGAACATAGTAGTTTGTACAGATGGATGGACGATAAAAGTACCTGGCCACCCCCACGGTCCGGGGAAATTTCTCGCAATTTTGCCCAACCCAGCTTGCCTGTTCAATGTTTGCCTAGGTGACAGGAGCGAGGAGTTGAATCAAAGCAAAAGAGGTGGCGTTTGTGCCGATTGGCCGTCTTGGCGCAAACAGTCCTCTCTACAAGGCGGCAGCAACCAACCGAGTTGATAGGCCAGCTTCTCCAGTCATCCCTGCTACGAGTGCCTACATAATACATGTATTGAATCCTTCTGGGCAGCCTTGCCAATGAGCGGGAGCAGGGTTAAGCAATGATCTCGCACGCGGCGCTTGGCTCCAAGATCGTACTCGGGGGACTTGACAAGTCTCGGTAACTCTGAACCGTTTTCTCCCTTTGGCGCCACCGGATGCTCGAATGCGCACCCAAAGTTTTATCGAACGGATTTCGAGTTTAGTTGTCATTCACCAGGGACGGGTGTTTGCCTGTGAAAGGGGGATGATGATGATAGTTCCTGCACTATGCTTTCCAAAGTCGAACTACCTTTTCCTGAGACCGGACGTGCGATGTTGTCCATGTCGTCAAGCAGTTATGCAGTTCTGCCTTGGATGGTCTTGCATTTCGAGAATCAAGTGTCTTCTCAAAGTAGAGAGAGAATGATATCTCTTGGAGGCGAGTATAAGACCAAGGCCTCATCCCACCCCGCAGTGTTTCTACAGCACCATCAGCATCATCAGCAACCCCATACTCCCCTTACCCCTTTCCTAAGTCTCGATTCTTATTACGAATAAACAAGATGCAGATCGCAGATGAATGGATGCAGACTAGGTATACAACCCGTGAACGAAAAGTTACTTCCAGTTACGTTGGCGCCCGACTAGCATGGACGGCATCTATTTCAACTAACTCTGGTTCTCACCAGTATTCAAATCTTAAAGATCTCATTGTTACTGTTTACATGTATTTATTCTTCTCCCGATCGGTACGAGTAACCTTGCGCGTTTCTTCCACTTGTGGAAACATCTTGTCTCCGTGGTAACTGCGACCTGATCTTGTCGACTCAGCAATCCTACCACGCAACGCGAAGCCCATTTCTCAGTTCGGTAGGCACGAAGATGATGATACTCTCACATGTGCATGACTACTTTAGTCTCCAGAATGTGAATCGAGTTTTGATTGAACTGTCGGAAGTTGTAAATTCATAATTAAGGTACTCAATAGCGAGATGTCATCGGCCAGGTATCGTTTTGCCGAGAATGCGATGACGAAACCTTTTCTGATTACAGGGAAGGTTCTGTGAAACTCAAGACTGAATCATCCCCTGATGGAGACCAGTCGATCCCGTCATTGTGTGCCCACATCATTCATTGATCTGAAGTGCCGGTGACCCACTCCAACCCACCGGTAACATGCTTGACGAAGTACTCCTCAGAATAAGACTCGTTGGTGTGACCCATACCAGTGTAGAACGCCCTAGCCACGCCCTCGTACATGGAGTACCACGAGATTGAGTGCATGGGAGGCATGTGCTGAAGCTCCGGCGACAGAGTAATCTCATCGATGTAAGTCTCTTCCACCTTTGCGAGAACTTTGTATGCAGAGTCATCAGCAGGATTTGTCTTGTACGCATACCACTCGTCTGTTCGGTTGTAGCTCTCCGGAAGACCAGAGGTTGAGGGATGGTCAAAGTCGAGAATTGTAACGGTGTCCGGACGAATGTTGCCATCTAGATTGAGTAAGCGTTAGAAACGTCCTGTACAGGATTGGCGATGGAGATGAGTGTTGGCTTACTGGGAGGGTATCTCTCCTTTTGCGCGTCGTCACAGATGTCGTCAGTCTCGCATGGGTGGGATCGGAACTTATAGAGAGGTCAGTAAAGTTGTTCCAGAGGGCAGAGTCCTGACGGTATATCTTACCTGTCCGCCAACAAGCTTGTTGAACCAGTTGGGCATGTCATCTCCGAAATCACCGGCTGCAGTTCAAACCGTCAGACATGTGGGCTACCGGCTATAATCAGATACATCCGTTAAGACGTACCGGCGTGAATGCCTAGCCAAGAACCACCGTTCAGTAGAAACTCGTTCAAGGCATCCGATTCGTTGGTTGACAAATAGTTGCCGGTGGTGGAAATGAAGACCAGAGTGCTATATGCGGACAAACTTCCGTTTGTGAAGATGCTAGAGTCTTCCGTTGCCGCGACTGACCAGCCTTTCTCATTGGCAATGGAGCTCACAAGCTGGATTCCATGAGGGATGCTAGAAGCTCAGATAATTAGGTTAGACGAGGAACACAAGAGACGGAGAATCAGAGACGTGCCTTGCATGGCGATAACCGGCTGTCTTTGAGAATAGCAGCAGACTAGGAGTTGCAGAGGCAGAAGCATGGACAGTATGACTGACAGCAATAGCTGCGGCCGCAAGAAGGTTGGTGAACATAGTTACAGTCTGGCAAGTGCCGCTCATACTTTTCTTGTGATTGGGAATGTGTAAAGATCGATGTTGGCGCGAGATTAGCTTTGGACCTGCATGATACTACATAAAGTATTTATACGTTTCTCAAAACCTGGTCATCATTTTGAAGACCACATAGACCTTGTCGACTTCCTGTGACAGAGCGAACCGAGGGAAGAGCATCAAGTTGAAGCTCCATAGTTACACGCAGCAAACACATTCCACAATAGGGTAAGATGTTTTTGGTTTCCGTCGGATACAAGTATGCTTAAGTCCTGGTAGGGCTGAGATCGTTGTATTTCTATGTACTTGTAGGTCTACAAGCAAATAGCTTTACGTTCGCGATCACTTCAAGGTACTTGCCTCTACCGTTCCGCCATCTTGAACAAGTCTGTTGTCAGCACTACCTTTCATTTAACGCGTAGGCACTTTAAGGATGGGGGCACGAGAGGAGTCTACTTTGAGTCCTGCCATCGCAGAACAAGCATCATGCTCCTTACTTTCCGGCCCCAAAACCGGTCTTGGCCTAGAGCATGGAGAATCTAATCAGATGTGGCGACCAGATGACCCAGAGGGGGAGGTTGAGTGAGTGTGTCAGTGTGTGTGTGGATAGACCCAAATTCGTCATGGTGGTCTGCCATGAGTTTAAGGAAGGTGGGTGAAAAAAGGGGCCCAATACCCGGGCTCCATCTGGCAGATTGACTTGGTGAGTTCCCCTTCCGACTGTGGCATCGGACGTTGGCCGGGTAGCCACCTCGCTCTGATGGTAACTGTCTACACGAAACTTCTCACAGCGTGCCAAGTTTGCACCGGCAAGCTTCCCAATAGAAATACAAGATGCGTCCTTTTTTAAGCGATGAAGATCTAGAACTGGAATTTCAGCGTATTTCCGCTTCAACTCCGCTACCAAAACATCCCGTCGGTAAGAGCCACCACCCAAATGCTTGGTACGGAGTCTAAGTTAATTATTGAGAAGCAGGATGTAATCAGGGATCTGCCAGAAACCAAAGGGGGAGGTAACAATTTCTTTCCCTAATCATGCAATGTGGCGCTAAACTGTCCAATGAGGAAGGTGAATGTCCGCGGATAAGACAGAATGTGGTTCATCCGTAGTACGGTAGATCTTGGCGGTGACGATGCGTTCCGATTGCCGATTAGAGGCCCTGCGGTAATCAATGGATGCCAGTTTTGTGACGGCATTTCCATAGAATAGTTGCCCCAGCTGACGGCGGAAGAGCCTCATTTGGCAATACTCTAGAGTCTCACGACCTGCCTCATCTAGGCTCATCCCTGTTTACACGCGGCGACGTCCGTACTGAGTAGTTCTTCGTGTGATCAGCTCCAACGCCAGTGCAGCGGGAAACGTTTTCCGCTTTCCATTAAGCACATGTAGTCAAAATTACAATTCCATAGTCATCGTGACTGGTAGCACTTTATTGTCACTTAATTGAATCAAGGTAGAAGCACGGGTGGTGAAGTCACCGCCGGCAGCGGTAAGTGGCGGGTCAGAAGCCGTTGGTGAGTCCCACTAACCTCCGGACTGGTCCACCTCTATTTGGGGCGACCAAGTTTACAAGTATTCTTCGTGGTCGACTTGCCAAGTGTTACTGGTAACTACCTGAATCATAACTGCTGATTAAATTCATTGATATGTAAGATGTACGAGGCCCTTGAGATCCGATATACTCCAGTGCAAAAACCCCGCGGCTGTTTATGGTTTCTCAGTATAGAGTTACCTCAAAATTTCACTCACAGTCTAGAAGGTTGTGAGCCTAGCCGTCGGTATGATATATCGGCGTTTAACACCTGCGTTTAGTCTTCGCATGTGACTTGTAACTTATTTTCGGCGTTCGCTCCATCCTTGACGCAGGACTAGACGCGAGCCTTTATGACAACATCATTTGGCTGTCAGCTACCAATCTGGATGCACTTGTAACGGTACCTCAACTGGTTTCTATTCTGTCCGAAAGTCGGTTCCAGGCCCGGGTATAGTGCATTACTTTCCTTGGGACTTCGAGGTCGGTTTTGCTTCCCGAGATAATTCACAATGTCTAAGGTTGAATGAATGAGTGATGTCTTTTTCTATACCAAATATGCAAACCCGGGCGACCATCCAGAGATGAATGGATGAGATCAGTTCATGACTATGTCACGTTGCTCCATGGCCGCGAATTAAATGTGCCTTGGAACCGCCATTTCGCCCAGCTACTATAACGCAAGTCAGCCTCCAAAAGACAAACATCAAGAGGGAATACGAGCTGAGGCTTGGCTGCCTGTAGGTACTTAACACCAATTGGACCATGATTGTGGTTCTTGTCAGCTGCATTCAGCCGGCTGAGTCCACAGACAAACACACGTACTTTCTTTACCACGTGGGTGGCACGCGGGGTAATTTCTCAACCTTGGCCTATAAATACTCGTAAGTTGTTGCACTGACGTCGCCAGTTAAGTCTGTCGATCGTTGTTTCCATGATCAGCTAATTTTCAGTTGGCGGCACAAGAGACAGATCCAGCATCACAGCATCAATCGATCCTCAGCCTGGACAGACTCGATATGATAGCCCTTCACTACTTCACAACCCTCGCACTTGGTGTTAACGCTCTCGCTTCTTGGCCACCGCAGGCTCCAACAAATGCAACCTGCAATGTTGAGGGCAGCATCAAGCCCACATACGGGCACTATGGTCTCGGGGTAGACTTCGATAACGCATACGAATGCTGGGAATTGTGCACCGACGGGCGCCGGCCACCTCGATGTCAGTCCTTTTCATGGGAGTCGACAGCCAAAAAATGCAAGCTATTCGATGTTTCGGTAGAAGACGGGGTGGACGAAGGGGATAGCACGGGTGCACTCTACTACAACAGAGATTGCTTTGTATACACCCTGCGGCCGGGGGTGAACAACAAAAACTAGAGACACGCATATATTAAGTAATAAAACAATGACGTTTAAATCGATACTTTCTTCAGGCGCGTATTGTTGTTCGCGAATGCTCAAAAGCTTGTCCCCTCTCTACTACCTCGACATTACATCTGCCATCTCAGCTCACCTCACATCATGCATCGAGACTCTCTATTCTCAAAGACATTGACTATGCGATTGAGGTGCTCACTGAAGCCATTTCTCGCCGAGCTCCAATCGATTTCCATCCATCACAACTTCGGAGGGCTTTGCGTCGATGACCATGCCGATCATGCGAACCCACTCGTCAGTTCTGTTCGCCCAACTATTGCAGAGAATACATATTAGATCTGGTCTTCAAGAATACCATGTGACTTGTCAAAGGAAAATGAAAACGTACGAGTGCATGACCCCGCGTTGAACGGCAACATCCCCTGGTCGAAGTAGGCTTTCGATAGTCTCTTCGTAGTCAGCCTTGCCATCCTCGGCACTGAAAGCAGTCTTCGGTGTAATAAGCGTAGGTGTTCCCTGGCTGACTGCAACGTAGTCGACTGATGGGGTCCGATGCTGAAAAGGTTGAATTAGCCTCGGGGTAGACTCAGGTCAGGACATCCATCAATGCAGTAATCTTGATCCATTTGCCAGAACCAATCGTAAGAAGAACATCAACATACCATCGGAGTAGTGAATCCAGGGGCCAAGTCCAAGAAGTAAATGTTCACTCCACCTGGCAGGACTATTCCACTTCCAGGGACATCAGCAAAGGCTGGCAGACCTCTGCAAAAGTCAACTACAGCTCGTCTAATTCTGGGGAGCCGGATGCTACGCACCGTCCTTCATTGCTGGCAGGTACTGCCGAGACGGTCCCAATCGTGATTCTCTGCAATTGACCGTCGAACATGTTTTCTGTCACCAAGCTATCGGTAACTACCTCAACTCCAGGTTCGGTCTTGGCTCCATCATTGGATGAGTCGAGATCGAGATTTGAAATGACGATGCGCCGGCGAGGGAATGAATCAGACATATTGAGATAGAAAAGCTAGACTTTTGTTATATAATTCAAAGACGGTATATGTTAGCGGATTTGGAATGCTGGGTGATGACTGAATGATTGAATACCAACACTATCCGTTTTATATCAAGGGCTTATGTCAGGTCAAGCCTTATGTAGTCAAGTTAACTTGGCGGGCTTCGAAGATCGACCCTGAATTCCCGGAGTGACATGCATTATTTCGGCGCCGAGGGAATAAGGGAATTAGTCCAGCGCCGGTAATACGGGGCCGAAGGATCACCCTCATGCCCTCTATCATTGGCTATGCTGTCTTTGTCAGCGCTTTTCAAAATTGCAGTAGTGCTGACGTTCGCTCCCGGCCCCGAAAAGTGCAATCTGATTTATTTGATTAGTAACAACAGAGGGCAGAGGCATGTATGGCAAGGCAAATAGGCAGGCATCATTCACCTTCGGCGACTTTAACCCACACAATGAGTAATTACACTTCGGCCATTCCATCGCAGAAAGTTTTGTTAGCTCGAAATTTGATCAACATTTCAACTATTCATGGCCAAGCGGATGAGAACTGTACTTTCTTATGCAAATATCCAAGTTCCTCAATTCCGAGAGTAGTAGACTACAACATTTTTTTTTAGCTGAATCTGACACTATTCTCTGGATTGGTTTATTGGGTTTAGCTTAGAATGACGAGGCCAGTAGTGCGCTTGTAGGAGGTCGACTCCCGGGAGCTCGACCTTTTGATCATCAAGTACTCAATATCAGAAACGTTGAAATGGGCCTCAACTCTTACAGTCGCAACTTCCGACTATTGAAGACTTCTGCAACAGGCAGTTTTTTCCCATAAGGTGTATAAAAGTACACTTATACATGACGCAGACAACAGTGCGCTTTGTAGAAGATTGCGATTTCTCATAGCTGCACCTGCAACTAAACGTTCAATTTTTGTCTCGCTCTTTCCTTCCCGCACTGTTGCAATAAACCATTTAATGTACCTAGCCCAAGCCAGATTTGAAATCTGAATAACCTTGTATACACAGCCAAAGCCTGCAGGGGAAATGTAAGGGAGTACAACTTTCAACTCACTCGGTCCTTATATGTGGCCTTCACCCCGTGCGTCTCAGGAAACCTATAATATAATCTAAATTGCAAGGACTTAACCCCCAGGGAACAAGTCCTGGACAAGTCCTCTTGTTTATCGCATCATATCTTGAGACTTCTCCTAGACTGGCTATCTACACATCCTGAGAATGATGAAAGAGGGCCCGGGAAGTGGGAGACTTCTTGGGCGGGTTGATCACCTTACCCACCGCGGGGAACCATAATAGAAAGCAAGCAACATGAGGTGGACCCCAGATAGCCTGTTCCAGCCCGACTGCCCCAGGTTTTTTCGAAGCTTCAGAACGTAGCATTCAGGCATCGGCAAGACAATCGCCGTTTCGACTACAAGATAGAAGGATCATGTGTGGATATGGAGACGGCTGACTGCGACTATGCCTCCGCTGCATCTGTGCTTGCCCAACTGTTTGCAAGACATATTAGTGATATTCGGTTTCCGGCTACAGCCAAGTAATAGATGATGGTTTGTTACTTGCATGTGTATTTCGAAGATCTACAGCCTCACATACAGCAACAATTACTTGATGCAGACAAGTAGGTGAGCATGCCAGAGCCGGAATGTGGGCAGATATGCATGGGTACATCGCGAACTTGCCTTTCTTCCTAGACTGGTCGTGACAGACTTTTGCTACGCAGGCAGAATTTATAGAAGGAAAAAGATTGAATGTACATGGGTGGTATTGATGTATTGTTTTCTCTCGATACGAGAAACTTTTATTTAGGCTTCTATCATGGGCGATAGTGCAGAAACCCCCCGAGTCCGCACTTGCAGAAACCTTCGTGGAGGTTGTTACGACCAAGGAGAGTTTCAAATCATTGAGGCCGAGTCAGTCCAAGAAACTTCGGAGATTTCATGCTATATCTACCTAACAAGGAAGCTATTTTCTCCCTTTGGATCATTAAACAACGCGATCTTTCTGTCAACAGTCGAGCCAACTTTTGGTGTGACGTTCAACTGCATGGAAAAGTCAGACTCGCTTTCCGAGGTACTGCTAGCATGCAACGCCTGAAACCACATGGAGAATTGATGAATTGAATATAGAAATTGGTATAGAGCAAGTAGCAAGACATGAAATTACAACCAATCGAAAATGAATAAACAAAAAGAACTCCGAGGCTACCAAGCTTCACGTGTTCGTTGAGGGCGCTGCTCACCAAATTCGCTGGTCCTATCCTCGGTAACGATCTCAACTTCGTTCGATACCACGATACCGTTCGGTGGTTTTCCTGATGTGGGCGTAGAAGAGCCTTTAAGGTTTTGTAATTTCACGTCGCTCATTATGCGTTCCTCGCTTTCGGTGAAAGTCACGTTGGAGGCGACAGGGTTTGCGCTAGGAGGTCCAGTCCGGCGCGAGGAATCCCCATGGCCGCCCCCAATGGTTCGGAAGCCGCTCGGTGTCTTGTATGCCTTCTTAGTGTTCTTGGATGATCGTAAGACATTGGGCCAAAGAGGTTTGAGATATGTTCTGATGAGAGGGAAGATCATGGGAAGGTTCGTCGTGACAACTGCGACGAAGGTTTCGCGAGTACCCCATGTGCCGGCAAGTTGGGCACCATTGACGGGATCCTAGTTCAATGTTAGCGAACAGATAAGAATTACAACGAGGACTATTCGCGATGGATGAAACGTACCACCAGCACGAATATGCTCTTGAGCGTGGCACAGACCAGGACGAAGATGCCTGCACCGAGCACAATGGTCGATGCAATCTTCTTGGCGAGTCTCAATGTTGACTCCCACAGCAGAGGAATTGGAATCAGAATGAGATAGATATCGGTCGAAACATTCGCAGCGAAGGAGGTCCATATGATCGGTAACGAGACAGCAGCTTGGCAGGAATCTAGAAGAACAATTGTGAGCATGTGTTAAGCTTTTGGTTATGGGGATAATGAACTCACTTCCGGGGTCCGGGCTAATCTGCCAGTATTTGCTGAAGGGGATGCACGACAAGAACACTGCTCCAAGAGAGGCGACGAATGTCCCGATGACAAGACCGAAGCCAATCCAGATACGCATGCGATATCGACGGCCTAGACCTTCCTGAATGTAGATGTCAGTCGACAACTATGATATGATGTGGCTGCATAGTAAATAGGGAGTAGATACCGTTAGTCGAAGGTAGAAGACCAGCATCGCGAGCTTCAGCAGCCAGATGAGTGCCGAGTAAGTGGTCCACCCAGCAATCTGGATCTTGGATCCGATGATCCTATGTTCTGGTTTAACGAATGACATTCCGCATTAGTGCCGATGCCGACTTACCTTAATTGATATTCTGGGTCACTCGTAGATAGTGCCGCTCGCTCTTCGTTAGTCATGCCATTATTAGCGAGCCCGTGAGCGATGTTGCCAACCGAGTAGGCCAGAGTGGATTGGACTGTGTAGAAAAGCTGCACACAAAGTAGATGAAAGTCAGCAACAAGCTTTTTTAAGTGCCGTAGTATCATCCAAAACACATACGATTGCTGCCCACACAAGGTAGTCGTCAGCCCGAAAATTTCGGAACCCCACAGCCTTGGCTCTGGCGTACGTCCTCAAGGCCGTGACGATCACTCCGATGCCGTAGAGTGTCCACGCCTCGATCGTGAACTGTCGACCTGCCTCGGCGGCAGCTGCAGCGGCAGCCTGCGCAGCTGGGTCCGTGGGATCAGTGGTCGACATTGGCAGGTTGTGTCTCAGTCGAGGGAGCGGGGTCGAAATATGTCCAATGACTGCGGATACGACCGAGAAAGAGGGCAAGATAGAGTGAGGAACGCCATGCATACAAGTATTAAATCTTGAGAGACCAGGAGGAGCTGAACTGAATCAAGAAGCAAGTCTAGATGTTTGAATCAGGGTCCGCGATCCAACACTAGTGCACAAGAACCGGAACATCGATCATTGGAAACATGGCAACAGGCTTAAACGCAGCAAGTTGGAGCGTAGAGTCCCAATTGATGCAACCCATGGCGGAGGAGACGTTTCCCCTACTATCCGCAAGACGACTTTGGATGAATTTGCAGGGACCCCATGTAGCTTTTCTTGTTGCATAACTCCATCTCCGAGCTGTGACAGTGCAAACCAAACTTCGTGTATGGGAAGCCCCAAGACAACCCATAGTGCAGTTTCTAAGGATTCAAGGATCTTTGAACATGTTCATCGGACTAATCCCGCATCTGGTGAGCAGGACGCGATGCTACCGCAACGGTGATGGCTCAGGAGTGTGTTACACTCGCTCATCATCCGGCTTCCGGTCGTCTCTTTCATCTCTCACTTGGCAATTCAAGTTGTCTCCGTGGCCATGGCTCTTCACAAGGTTACCAGATAGAATTATTTCTGGGATCAAAAACAGGGATACCATTACTTTAAGAATTGGGCCCTCATCCGCTTTATCCGCACGCTTCGATCCGTAGGCCTCCTAACATCAGCTCAGATTACAGATGATAAAACAAACGCAGCTTCGCAGCCATGTTTTGGACTGCGTTTGCCTCCACTCTCCCGTCCGGTGAACTATTCAGCGTTCAGTTGACGGAGCTCTCCTCCACTTGCCAAGGTCCTAGATCATGATGGTGGAATCGAACCCATGGCTGCCCCCTGACTCGAAAGTGGACGGCTCCCCTCTGTAGGGGGCCCAAGCGGAACACGGGTGCTTCCCCCGGTGTAGAGCGCCCCCACTGTCAATACTTTTCTTTACGATAAGGTAATGAGGATACCTCGGGCGATGTGATGAGGGGGCGGGGGCGAGTTGCGAACACCAGACCTAAACGGCATAGGATTTGCAAACGGGGCTACAGTTGAGAGGGCCCAGGCCCGGACACGAGCAGCCGAATTCTTTAATCAAGAATATATCATATCAGACGGTCATGCCGAGAACACGTCCAGAAGGGGAGAAAGAAAATGGAAGACTTCACATGGGTCCGAGGGGATGGTTGACAGGTCAAAGCGGCCCGAGAGACAAACGGCTTTCAGATTTCCAGTAGCAAAGGGGCACAGTGAGGCGCAGACTCGG